ATATAACTCAGCTGTAATGTACCATAACTCAGCCGCAATGTGTCATAACTCAACCGTAAACGACGTTTCGTATTTCCCTGTTTTTTTGTCGGAAAACGAAAAATCTCCACCCAAGTTGAGAAGAAATGCGACAGCAATGACGACGAGAAAGAGAGACACACCGATTATAGGATAAGCGGACAGAAGAGACGAGAAAAATAAGCGGCGAGAGTTATGGTTCTTCGTCGGCTTCAAGAGAGAAAGAACATTTTTTTTTCTTATTCTTTTTAGTCTTCTGCCTTTTCCTTGGCCTATTCCGATCTGACATAGACACCTTTTTTTGCAACAAATGAAACAATACTCGAGAATGGGATATGAGATTTCGATATAGTGGCAAAATAACAAGACAGTAATGAGATTACGAGTTAGTGTCATAGGTTTACCGTTCACTCTCTTCGTCTTCATTATTGTCATCTTCAAAGCAACTCTCACCATGAACAGAACCACATGTGAGGACCAAGAACTCTTTTCTTTTCTTAGAACGTTGGATGTACGCAATTTGAGAAGAAATACGATAGGAATGACGACAAGAGAGAGACTCGTTGAGAATCGAAGCGGCCAAAAGAGATGAGAGAGAGAGAAGCAGCGAGAATTAGAGTTCTTCGCCGGAATCGCCGAGGTAGAAATATTTTCGCCATAACTCAGCCGTAACTTACAATAAGTCATAATATAACTCAGCCGTAATGTACCATAACTCAGCCGCAATGTGTCATAACTCAGCCGTAATGTACCATAACTCAGCCGTAAACGACGTTTCGTATTTTCCTGTTATTTTTGTCAGAAAACGAAAAGTCTCCATCCAAGTTGAGAAGAAATGCGACAATAATAACGACGAGAAAGAGAGAGACACACTGATAATAGGATAAGCGGCCGGAAGAAACGAGAAAGAAAAGCGGCGAGAGTTAGGGTTCTTCGTTGGCTTCGAGAGAGAAAAAACAGTTTTTTTTTTGTTTGTGAATAGTGACGAAAATCTTCAGTTTCTTCCTCTTTTATCATTAAAGACAGAATAATGATGTGGCAATTTCATATATGACGTGGCATGTCGAATATGACGTGGCAATTTTTAAGTGAAAACAGACCAAGGGTGTTTACTGTAATTACACCCATCTCACTAAATATCTAAGGAATAAAAAAAATTTAGCTGTTTAGGGAATAAACATACAATTGTGGTCTATCTAAGTAATCTCCCTACTATAAATATACAATTATCCGTGCAATTTTTTTTTGTTAGAAAAAATAGATATTAGCTTTGGTTAACTTTTTCTTTTCTTCTCCATCTTCGACCTCAAAGCCAAAACATGAACACGATTCTACTCTTACGCCATTACAGTCCCAAACTCAAACCTCTTTTTCTCTACTCACCTTCCCAAATTCACCACTTAACCCGTGAGAGTGCAATTAAATCGAGTCTCTTTTGTGATTCTACTCAAAACGAGAATGCCCATAAGGTGTTCGACACAATTCCTCAATACCCAAATTGGGTCTCTGTTAAAGACCTTGTCACGTGCCTTGTACGTGACGTCTTCTTCAATACCTTAACTCTTTCCCGCTTCTGCTCTGTTATTCACTCCCCAAGAACCAACCTTTCTCGGTACCAAGAAAACGCAAGATCAGATCTTTGAGAATCGATACTTGCTACTCTCTTCCTAAGCATGGAGCCTCATGTTCTAGGAGATGTTCACTGCGAAAAAATCTTCAAACGCGCCAAAGATTTCTACTGTAAGAATGATTACGTCAAAGCGTTGGAGGTAATTGAAGATTTGTCTTTCGTCCAAGGAGAAGACAGTGTACATGTGAATGGGCTACAAGGTTCTATCTTTAACGAACTAGCGAGAAAAACAAAGAACCCTGATGTGAAAGTTGCATACTTGTTGGGTTCTGTACAATGCTTTTCGATAGCTCCTGATTTATCATCGATGGCTGCAAGTTCACTCTTTGCTTTGGCAGAACAGCTTCGGTCAGTGGTGTATTACAAGAAATCCATGTGCAAAGCAGAGGAATCTTTATATAATCTTACAGTGGATTTGCAGGAGCAGGACCCTGAACTTTTCAAGAGAGAAGAGAAAGCAATGGTGACTATGATCGAGATTGCAAAGTCAAGAATAGCTCAATCAAAGACACGAGTTGCTTCTCCTGTAAAAAACAATGAAGAAAAAGATACAGGGAAGAGTGAGCCTGATTTCATCAAAGGATTGATGTTGTATTGGGCGGGTTTGAACGTTGAGATCAAAAGGAATTTTATGAAAGTTAGCACTGCAGACCTTAGGAGTTACGTTGAGGGATTATATGGTAGTGAAGGACGAGATGCATTGGAGCAAGTTCTCACTTTTGCAAGGGAAGAGGGAAAATGGAGATTCTGGCTGTGTAGGTCTTGTTCGAAGAAGTTCTCGAGTGCTGAAGAATGTAAGAATCATCTTGAACAAGAACATTATGCAAAGTTTACTCCTAATTCGACAGAGCATATGCCACAAAGGATAAGTAAAGTCTGGGCTCGTAAGATATCCGTCGGAGGTTGGAAACCAGTGGATGAATCAGCTGCCATTGAACTGATTAAGAATCGATTCGATGATGTGAAAGCATTTGCATATGAGAATGGATGGTCCCAAGACTGGCCTTTAGCTGTGGATGAAGAGCGCAGTAAGTTACTCAAGGAAATAAAATCGCTCTTTGTGTCGTTTTGGGACTGTAATGTTCTCTCCTGCAGCATTCGAGACTGGGTAATGCATTTTACGGTTAAGCATTTTGAAAATGTTGAAGTTTCCAAGCACACTCTTACTGATTGTCACCTAATGGAAACACCTCAGATTATCTGTTTTTGTGGATGTGGTGAACTCACTCAAATCCTGAAATTTCTAAAATACATCAAGTGTGAGAGGGATGATGGTACAGATGTGGTTTGCAGAGTAGTGGACAGTTTCTGCTGTGCTGCACAAGTTAAAGAAAAGCTCGACTTTGACCCTCAGTTTTCAGTTCTTCTCCTGGATAAGAGACTGCTGCAATGCAAGATTACTCGATTTGATAATGAAGGGACAGTCAATGTCTTTGATCCCAGTGTGCACTATGCCAATGCACATGCTCAGGGATGTTATATCATCTCCTGGTTAGTTGAAAACTCTTCAGGAGATGAGCGTTTTCGATTTCCCACACCTATCAGGATGCACAATCTTGATATATGGGTGGCTGCTCTGAAAGCCATTGAGTTCACATGTATGACTCAGGCAACTAAATATGCAAAGAAGTGGCAGCTCCTAGATTATGATGCAGCTCTTACCGTCGCCAAGAATTTGTGTATTAGCGAAGATGCAAAGAGGAGGAATCTACAAAAAGATCAATGGAACAGTTATGCATCTCTTCTATGCGACACATGTGAAGAGCATTTAAGTAGAGATGCTGGACAATCCCTGGATACAGAAGTATTCTTGTGTGCAGTACAAGATGTTTTCAAAGGAGCTTCATTTCCGACATTTAATTTTCAAAATTGCATGAATGTTATACGTGAGCATAAAGATCTTGCTGATGATATTGTGATGAAGTCTATAGACTTTCTGATATTAGTAATCACCAACAAGGTTCATTTCTTATCTGAATTTTAATTAACAACAGGGATATCATAAAATAGTTTATCTTAAAGTGTCAATTAATTGCAGGTTGTTCTAATAGATTCAAAATTTTTACTGGTTGAAAGTATAAGGATTAATTTGCTGAACAATCTCACCAGACTTTCTGTTTTCGACTATCGCTCTTACATTCTTCGACCAATGAAAGAACTCATCCTGGTTAGTTTGATTTCTACTGAGAGCTTTTATTTTTATTTCTGATAGGGTCTTTCATTTGGTCCTTATATTATATTTTATGTTTCATCGTGTAGGATCGTATTATATCTATGGAAAACAAAGCAAAGTTAGCTGCAGCAGAAGCAGATCTTATATCCGAGGAAAACCAAGAGGAAGAGATGAAATTACCATCGAAGAAAAAGAAAACTAAAAAAAACAAGGTCTTTGAAGTTCTAAAGTTTCTATTTGGTTCGATGACTTTTTGGTTATTTAATTGTAAGAAGGAATGTCTTCATGGTGAAACAGAGAACTTCGACGAGCATGTCTAGTCACCTTGATAAGAGTATTGAACAGTAAGTACCTCACAATCTTTTTTGTTATGATGATATTTTGTTTTCAAATGTTTCTAAACAAATTGTGCACTTACATCTCTAGTGAAAATTCTGTCAACCTTGAACTGGAAAATACATCTCCATCAGTAAAAACGGCAGAAGATGTTTCTTTGGAGCCAGAAGATACTCTTTCAAGTGAAAAGGGTCTATTGGAAATGACATCCAACACTAACAATCAAGAGGAAGTTACTAAAGGTGACCTTGTTGTAAAAGAGCTTCTCAATTGAAGAATATTCTTAAAGCTCTATAGCTTATATTTTCTTGAGATGTATAATTCTTATTTCTTTAGCTTGTCATCTTCAAGATATGCAAAGCATGCACAGAGAAGATTCACCGTCAGAACGCCTGGGCTCAGCACATGACGAAGCTACAACCAGAAATAATTCAATCCTTCACATGGTGCTCAAGGTAAACCAATCACCAACAAAAACAAGATTCTAAACGTAACCTGATTTAGATCATTCTTTATTTTCATGTATTATCTCTTTACTTCCAGATTTTGTTTAAATTTTTTGCTCAAGTGCAGGCCCTCTGTAACATTAAGGTTCTTAAAGAGGATCTGATGCACAATCGGCAACCATTTTCTGACAACCTGGAAGAACAAGTTCCTCGTGCACTACGAGATTTCTTTTCTGCTTTTGTCTCAGAGCAGATAGAATACGAAGGACTCTACAGTTACCTCCTAAGCGAATTACTTGCTTCCCTGGAAGAAGTTCATCATTCCATGGTTTGTGTGGAAGATAGATTCTAAACATTGCATATTTTATTTTACAAACAGCTTGGTTTTGTGTAACTGCCATTCTTACTCTTTCTTTTTTTTTTTTTTTTTTTTTTTTGTCTCCTTTTAGCTAAATGATGCTGCAGAGGTAGTCGTAGCCATCCTTGAGTTTTGGCAATGCTGGAAAAATCCACAAAGAGAAAGCTTGGTAACTCGTCTTTTTACACTGGAAGAATATGAAAGAATGAAATGTAGCAAATGCAGAAAGATGCCAAATTATCCAGAGCAAAGGTCTTATGGCGTTGTTGTGGCTGCAGATTCAATCAGAGACCTGAAGGTAATTTTCATTTATTTCTCTCTTTCTTTCCTACAGAAGTTGGTACTATCCCTGAAGAATTTGTTTTGTGGTTATGTATATATATGCAGTGTGCTTTTGGGAATATAAAGTTTGCAGACATCATTAAAGTGATCCGCTTGGAAGATAAAATGTTATGTAACATTAAAACAAGAGGGTGTGGAAAGGCAAACTTTGTTCGTCGCATTATAAGCAGATCCCCGCCTATCTTTACAATTGGTAACTTTTGAATTGTGATCTTATCTACTCATTTCATTTGTTGTGGTATGATAATATAATGTTGATGTTTTTGTGGGTTTGCAACATTAGTGCTAGAATGGGAGAAGAATGAATCTAAAAAAGAGATATCTGAAACACTAAAGGCTTTAGACTGGGAGATAGATTTCAGCAGGCTATACGAAGGGATAGAATCAAACACTAAGTACCGGCTTGTGTCAATGGTAAAATCTGAAACAGGGTCACAAATGTTTGTGCTACTGTTCTTCTGTGTATCTCTTCTCTGTTACAGTTATAAACTATGGAATGCAGATTGGCTGTGATGAAGAAGGAGAATACATTTGCATGGCTTATAAAAAGAACCGGTGGGTCAGTCTCAGACATGGAACTCTAGCAGAAGAGGTAAGACGAAACAGTTGGCTTTGCGTTTCTTGAGCTGAAGTTTGAAGTTTGATGGGTCAGACTTTATTGATATGTGGTGATGTTATAGGTTGTGGGTAAATGGAAGAGTGTGGTCAGATTCTGTGGAGAATGGAGGGTTCGGCCTGAGATTCTGTTTTATGAAGCTATCGGCCTAACAAGTGACAGAACTATTTCAATATAGGAAGCAAGCGTTGATGTATAAAAACAGTGGCAAGTTAGAAGTTGTATTCATTATGTGAATAGAAGTGATTATTTCAACCTTTGCATGAAAATTCGATTACTCTTTGTCAGTTGTCACATATGATATGGTCAAACTTAGACTTAGATTAAACATAAACTAAAATCAGCTTTTAAAGTTAATGGTTGTATAATGTTTGACATTGTAGTGAAACACATGTCATTTAAGTTAATGGTTGTACAAAATAAAAATCTAGCACAAATAGTAAAACTGACAAATCATATTTTCAATAAATGGAGATAATGATTTTTTTAGACTATGTGGAGTCAATCATTATAATATATTAAATAATTTATTGTTTAAAGCATTTTTTAATATTAATTAATATCAAAACCTGTAAATTTAAAGAAACATTAACTGAAAAGATTTTCTTTTACTTAGTACTGCTTAGTATTTATGGGAATTTGTTTTCTGTAGATATAGATAATAAAGAAAATATATTTTAACTTATTGTATATATATATATATATATATATTAACAAAAAATATATATATATATATATATCTATATATGTGGAAAAAATCAAGATTTGATATTTTAAAGTATTTTTATTTTTAATAAATGGAAAATGATTTTAAACCTGTTTTATAAATTAATTATGTTAATTGTTGGTTGTGTATGCGCGTATGTACATCTCAACATAAACACACAAAATTAGCATAATAAATTTATTAAAAAGTTTACAAATTTTTTTCCATTTATTGAAAATAAAAATACTTTAAAATATCAAATTTTGATTTTTTTCTATATGTATATAAATACTTACAAGTGAAAACTCTATTGTCTCAAAATTTTATATCTCATCTAAAGAAATAATCAAAATGACAAAATCCTCAAACAAACAGATGAAATACTTCTACAATCTTCCTGAAGACCTTGTGGTGCGCGTCTCCTCGTTTCTTCCCATCAAATCACTTTCAAAAAATCGTGTTGTGTCCAAACTATTCAGGCACGCACAAATACGATCTCTCGATCTTGATTTTAGCGGAATATCCTCTGTCACACAGAATCAGTCAGACGCTATTAATATCATCCAAAATGTTTTCAACAAACACGAAGGATCAGAGATTAATCGATTTGTTTTATGTCTCAAAGAAATCGGCGGGGAGGAATCGATAACCTCGTGGATCAACACGTGTATTGGTAAAAACATACAAGAGATAGTGTTAGATTTCTCCAAATCCAAGGATGTTATGGAGATCTCGATCGATTTCTCAGCCATTGAAACGCTAACAGTCTTAAATCTAAGATGGTGTAAATTTGAAATACCAAATAATTCTCCTAAAGGTCTAAAGCTCTTGAGGAGCCTCTCACTTATGCGGACTAATGTGACGAAAGAGATGATCAATGCAATATTCACAAACTGCAATGACCTTGAGTTCCTCGAGCTAATTGACTGTTCTATGTATGGGCTATTGAGCATACCCGCTCAAAATCATAAGAAGTTTAAATCGCTGGTTGTGTCGTCTATGCCATATCTCATGGACATTGTTTCTTGTGCACCTACTCTCGAATACTTCAAGTATGATGGATATGTCACAAACGTTATATTTTTAAGAACCGATGCACTTAAGGAGGCAAATCTCAACTATACAAGGTATCGCCGGATTTACGATTCATCTGAGATAGTGGTTTCTAACATGAAACACTATACAAAAGTGTATGTCCTCACAACGACAAATATCTTTCTTGAGGTAAATTTTTTTATTTAATCTATATTTTAGTAATTTTCTATCTTTTCAATTTTATTAATTTATATGTTATTAATAAATTCTGATTTATAGGAAATGAAAATATTATTTTTGCGCAAAAATTTGTTACGTGGTTATATGTTACATGATATTAGTACATTTCTAATACATTTCTCTTAAGGTATATAAGGTCACTTCAAGATATATTAGACAAACAATAATCATAATCTTATACAAACATAACATTAGGCATAATTCAATTTGTATTGATTAGGTACTTGATGTAGATCACTATATATGATCTTATATATTCCTGTAAACCTTACATAATTATTCTTACATGCATTATTCTTAAAGTAGTTGGTTGTTAGAGGAATTTTCAAAATTGTTTTCATATGATTGTTTATATTTTCTTTTGTTCATAATCAATTCATTTTGACATATATTTATAGGCTCTTACAAAAAGATATGTAGGAGGACGAAGACTCGAAAGAAAGGGTACTTTCAAGTTTGAAAACTTAACAGATTTCAAGATCTTCTTCAAAGCTCCAACATTATGCACTCTTTTTGACATCGTTGAATTTCTCAAAAATTGCCCTAAACTCAAGCGAGTTGTGATCGATGTACCCTTCTCTCTCTCTCCCCCCCCCCTCTTTACCAAATGGCTACCTAAGGTCATTAAAAAGTTTTTCTCTTGGTATGTGCAGATTCAAAATTTCACATTTGCACATCGATTGGAGTTTTGGCAAATTCATCATAAGGAGGAGATTGAAAACAACAACTCCCACTTGATGTTTCTTAATGAAGTTAAGATCATCGGCTATAAAGGCCACTGGCATGAGCTTGATATAGTAGAGTTCTTTGTCAAGAATGCACCATCTCTGGTGAAGTTGGAGTTGCAGATGCCAAAAAACGCAAAAACCAAAGTTCACGCACCAGATTATGGAAGGATAAATTTCATTAAAAGCATATTTCCAGCGATTAAAGTTACGGAGGTTTAAACTCTAGTTGGCCTAAGCATGAGAATGTAATAGCTATTTGATGTGTTTGAAACATCACAACTCTCCCTTTTGTTTATGATATCTTCTTAGATTTAAATTCCATTTTTAATTTTAATATTTAAACTTTTTTTCTATCTTTTTGTGATTTTATGATTTTATTTGTTAGGAATCTAAATAATATGATTTTTTTTTTCTTTTTGTGTCAACATCAATCTTTTAGACTCAAAAGAGCCAAGAACTGGGAACATTGTTTACATATAGATAAATAATATGATTTATTTGGCCACAAATCATAATTTAATAATAATAAAAAAGAGAAATAAATCTACTATTTTATCAAGTTTGAAAATATGTAAATAAAAGTAATAAGAGATTTCTGAAGTTCAAATTAGTGATAATAAAATTTAATAACTAAATTTACCAATAAACATATCTTTTGAAAATACACTCTTGAAATAACTTCTCTTAGCCTTCAGAGTCCTAAGCAAGTATTCACACAAAGGACCTTACTGAGAACATCATCCGAGTTTCCAAATCACCTGCACAGCCAACAAACATCACTCAGTACACTCAACAGTTGTATCGATCTTTATGAGAGCAAACATTGATGGACGGTGCAAGATGTTTGGGACGATTCTTTTTTCACAAGGCATTGATGTTTTCTTTCTTGGTGATTTCATAAAAATCATTATATAGTACCTTAGCTTGCATGCTCTCACATGCTCTACTATTACTGTGTCAAAAATGTAAATTGAGTACAAAATACCACCAAAGAAACTAAACACAAGTGTTTTTACCACTGACCAAACAATACATCAGAAGAAATGCAGAGTGAGTTTGCATAACAAAAGTGTTGAATTTGAAAGAATGGTTTTTAACTATCTTTATCCAATGATCATAACAATCTGTTCACAGTGGTGCAACAACATTCTAAACACTTGTTGTATATACTTAGTCTTCAGATACTTTTGATACCAACTGGTCCCTCTGCATAGCCTGCAATCCAAGTAGGTCGAACTGAAAACATACACATTATAAAAGAAAAGCATAAGCAAGTATTCACTCAAAAGGACCTTACATTTTCAAAAAAGAGAATCTCAGGTCGAATATGCAGGTTCCGAAATTTGCTGAGAACATCATTCCAGTCTCCAATAACCTGGAAACCCAACATACATCACTCAGTCACAGATCAAGTAACTTGCTTGTCTTTTACCAAACAAGTCTAAAGCTTTACCTCTTTCTCAGAACAAAAATGTCTGACCCATCGATTGTTTTCATAAGCTACACAGTTGTATAGATCTCCATGCGAGCAAACCTATATATATTATTAACATTGGAGTTGTACATAGTCTCGAATAGGAAACCCAAATGGAACTGAAACGAACTGGCTCTTACCATTGAGGCAAGACGGTATTTAGTGACTGCACTGTCACCCTTGTATTGGTATATCGTATTAATATCAATCTCAGTCTTCAGAACAGAAGTAGTATCAAATATCTCTCCTTCAGTCTCATTGTTCTCCCACTCAAGTGCTAATCAATACAATAACAAAAAAATGCTAAGTCTACTGCATTATGCTGATATCTAATGACAAGTTTAACTTCAGAGCTTACCAATTGTGAAAACAGTTGGAGGTTTATATATCATACGTTGAACATAGTTTCGTTTCTCACATCCTTCCTTATCACAAGGCATCTTTAAGTCTATTCTGATGACCTGAATGATCTTCTCGAATGTAAACTTCTCGAACATTGCCTGTGATAACCAAAAACTTTTCTAGTCTCACTTTCACATTTTCTTATAAGATTAAGGACAAAAGAAAGTGACTTGCCTTGACTTCTCTGAGTGAACCAGCATTGATGATCATACCATAACAACGTTTAATCGGATACTCCATATCAATCTTGCATCTATTGCAACTCTTCTTTGCCACTTCGTACAGTTCAAAGTACGGGTTCCAAGGAGGAAAATTATCCAAGATGTATACAAACAGGTCAAAGACATTATTTGCTTCCTAACGAATACAAAAAAAGAACATATGAAGCTTGTGAAAGAAGTAACTAAGATACACATATAAGAACATAGTAGTTTAAAGATGAGAGCAGAGCATAGACCAGAGGTTGAGTAAGACTGAGATTGTTGATAAAAGAGAGACGAAGTATATCTTCCTTAAGAAGCGATCCTGTAAAGTCGTGACGTACGTTGTTCTGTCTTGCAAAAACGCTAATTTGCCACAGAGACTGCGAAAACAATCACAATTCTTGAAAATTTGAAAGCAAGAGATCGATAAAGATAGATAGATAGGGTTTTGCAAAACCTTGAGTATCATATTAAGTGAAGAGCCCTCTGCGTCGTAATCTCTGAACAATATAGATAAGAACACAAAAGAGATGATTTTTTACAGAGAGATTTCTATGGGCGGGGGGAACGTATATATATATACATATATACTCAAGAGGATGAGACTTTATTACTTACATATCTATGATCTTGTCCGCAACTTCAGCTTTCTCCATGATTTGGCTGGAAACAAAAGCAAAAGATTCTCTCAATGGCGATTTTTCTTTCTTGATTTTCTCGAGAAAATGAGAAAAAAGAAACAGAGAGAAGAAGACGAATTGGGTAAAGATCTTTTGGGTTAGTTTGTTCACGTGATTTCTATTAAAAATTTAGCGCGGTAAAAAATTGTAACTTATGCTGCAAGAACAAGAAGAACACCTAAAACGTGTACTGTGGACTTTTGTCAAACACTTGGTGTGCATGAATCCATTATTTGCTAAAACACGAACTACAAAGATTTTAGCGGAAAGGTTATATTTTGCTAAAAATGAAGCATTCTTTTGACAAAAAAAATACAAATTAGGGATTAAAGACATGCCCAGCTGTGTTTATCTTTCCATATATATATACAAGTGTTGGACAAAAAAAAATATATATATATATACAAGTGTTGAATTTGATAAAATGGCATTTAAGTACTCTATATAGCCTCAATGATCATAACAATCTAAGTAATTGAGTAATTTATACCTATGAGTTATCATAACAATGCTAAGCAATCTTTTTGTTTCTTTCTAATTTTCGGATATATATATATTTTCGGTTAAATTCGTTTATGTTCGGTTTATTTTGGAGAAAAACCGAAAACCGAACTCGATAGAATTTTGGTTAGTTACAGTTATTTATTCAAATATCCAAACCAAACCCAGCCAAAAGAAAACCAAACCGATCCGAAGCTAAATTGCTAAAGTAACCGAATGTTTATTATATTATCATATCCAAACTAACCGAAACCGAGCATAACCGAATAGTTTTTCTTACAACTAAAATTCTATATATTGTAAATATACATAACACTTGTAGCATATATGTCATTTCCATTAAGTTAAATAAAATATATTTTTCTTATATAAAACTCTCAACATATAATAAATTCTTAATCATTCCATCATCTTTAATTAATTTTATTTCAAGTTTTAGTAGTTAGTTTTATTTTAGTATTTGAAAATTGAGGTTAGTTTTATTGGATTTATTTTCAATATTTAACTTTTGAATTATGTTATTAGATTTATTATAATATTTCATTAAAATTGAATAATTATTGTTATTATATTTATTTGGTATTAGCTCGTGAGCTGAGCCAAGTTGAGCGAGCTAGCTCATCTTAACAGCCCTACTTGTGAGCATACCTATATATTAGTTTCTGTAACATAATCTTCAATAATAAAGTTATATGGAACTGAAGCAAATTTTATATACTTGGCCCCTTACCATTGAGACAAGGTCGGTTAACACCGACCTCCTTGTGAGCAAACCTGGAATATTAAAAAGTGGAGTTGTTTCTGGTAACATTAATCTTCAAAAGTAAACTTCAAAGAAGCAAATTTTTTGATACTTGACCTCTTACCCATTGAGACAAGAGTGTACGTGGTGAATGAACTGTTACCTTTGCTTGGTATATCTATCTCTGTCGCCAGAACAGAAGTTGTATCTAACATTTCTCCTTAAGTCTCGTTCTTTGTCCAATCAAGTGCTATACAAAATAGGAGAAACAAAAAAAACTACAACATTTTGTTGTTGATCTCTACTAACCAATTTAACTTTATAGCTTATCGTCACGTATAGGTTTCTCAGATCCTTCCTTATCACAAGGTTTCTTTAAGTTCATCTTAAAGGATATTCTCAAACTCAAACTGAGATAACTAAACTTATCATGAGACTGTATTAAAGTTTTGCTTAATGTATGAGGTGATAAGAAAGTGACTTGCCTTGACTTTTCTGAGTGAACATCAGATGAAAGAACGCAGAAGCTTTAAGATGTTTAGAAACAGGTCTAAAACACCATTTGCTTCCTGAAATGTACTAATAGACAACATAAACAATTGAAGCGTAAGAAAGAAGTTATTAACAACACAAAAGGTTTTAAAAGATGAGAGCAGAGACCAGAGGATGAGTGAGACTGATTTTCTCGAGTAGGAACTCACAAAGTATGTCTTGTGGAAGAAGAGATTCATCATCTGTGAGGCTTTCAGGTACTTCTTGAACATAATCCATCAAAAAATGGCTTAAGAAAAAGCTAATCTTCCACAGAGACTGCACAAAATCACATTCTTGATAACGTAAATCAAATAAACAAGATCGATAAAAAATAGATGCAGGCTAGTTAAGTTCTGCAAAATTAGACATTGGGTATCATAGCAAGAGCTGAAACAAAACTGGCGTTCAGTATCTTCTCTTCATATTCTTCTATCATAGGAAGAGCTGAAATAAGAGTCTGTGAGATCTCTGAATGATGATAGATAAGCACAAAAGAGACAATTTCTCAGAGAATAAAAAATACACAAAACATAAAAAACAATTTTAATCATCCCATGACTATCTTGGATCCTAAACACATCTGAAAAAAGGGAAATTAAGAGATCGTAAAAGAATTCTTACTTGTGTTTTTCTCATAAGTGCATATAAACGAGCTGATCTTTTTCTTGCTCCAAGATCCATTACATAAGTCACATTTAATCTTCTAGTTTCATCAAGCTTTACCTGTTTAATGGACATACATATGAATCTATAACTCATGAGCAGAACGACATAAGATAATCAACTGACTATACTAAATAACAGAACAACATATATTAAAAGAACAACACATATTACCATGGAGCACCTAATCGACCAAGTCCAAATCAATATCTTCCACCCTGCAAATTTAAAATACAATCATTAGAAACAGACATTATCGTGAGAAGAATCTTAAACTAAGCCGAGGCATTTGAAAAGGCAACACGGGATGTAGTTTCTCATTTATGCACCACCAACAATCTGTTTCTGCGTTAAAGACTCATCGTTAGAAGAGTCTAAAACTGCAACGAGGCATTTGTATAAGTAACACGGGACATAATTTCTTAGCCATGCACCACAACCAATCTGATTCTGAGTTAGAGACTCATCGTTAGAAGAGTCTAAAACTGCGACGAGGCATTTGTATAAGTAACACATGACATAATTTCTTAGCCATGCACCACAACCAATCTGATTCTGAGTTAGAGACTCATCGTTAGAAGAGTCTAAAACCGAGCCGAGGCATTTGAATAGGCAACATGGGACTGTTAAAGAGGTAATTTAGATTACCTCATTTTGTATCCAAAAACTCATCATGAGAAGAGTCTAAAACTGAACCGAGGCATTTGAGAAGGCAACACCGGACGTAGTTTCTCATTTATGCACCACCAAAAATCTGTTTTTGAGTTAAAGACTCATCGCTAGAAGAGTCTAAAACCGAGCCGAGGCATTTGTATAAGTGATACGGGACATCATTTCTCAGCCATGCACCACCAACAATCTGTTTCTGAGTTAGAGACTCATGATTAGAAGAGTCTAAAACCAAGCCGAGGCATTTGAAGACAACACCGGACTGTTAGAGAGGTAATTTAGATTACCTCATTCAATATCCAAAACTCATCATGAGAAGAGTCTAAAACTGAGCCGAGGCATTTGAAAAGGCAACATGGGACGTAGTTTCTCATTCATGCACCACCAACAATCTGTTTCTGAGTTAGAGACTCATCGTTAGAAGAGTCTAAAACCGAGCCAAGGCATTTGAATAGGCAACATGGGACTGTTAAGGAGGTAATTTAGATTACCTCATTTCATAAACAAAAACTCATCATGAGAAGAGTCTAAACTGAGCCGAGGCATTTGAAATGGGCCATAGTTTCTCATTCATCCACCACCAACAGTCTGTTTCTGAGTTAGAGACTCCTCGCTACAAGAGTCTAAAACCGAGCCGAGGCATTTGTATAAGTAACACGGGACATAATTTCTTAGCCATGCAGCACCAAATATCTGTTTCTGAGTTAGAGACTCATCGTTAGAAGAGTCTCAAACCGAGCCGAGGCATTTGAATAGGCAACACGGGACTGTTAAAGAGGTAATTTAGATTACCTCATTTCATAAACAAAAACTCATCATGAGAAGAGTCTAAAACTGAGCCGAGGCATTTGAAAAGGCAACACAAGACATAGTTTCTCATTTATGCACCTCCAACAATCTGTTCTGAGTTAAAGACTCATCGTTAGAAGAGTCTAAAACTGAGACGAGGCATTTGTTTAAGTAACTCGGGACAATTTCTCAGCCATGCACCACCAACAATCTGTTTCTGAGTTAGAGACTCATCATTAGAAGAGTCTAAAACCGAGCCGAGGCATTTGAATAGGCAACACGGGACTGTTAAAGAGGTAATTTAGATTACCTCATTTCGTATTTAAAAACTCATCACAAGAAGAGTCTAAAACTGAGCCGAGGCATTTGAAATTGGCAATAGTTTCTCATTCATCCACCACAAACAATCTGTTTCTGATTTAGAGACTCATCGTTAGAAGAGTCTAAAACCGAGCCGAGGCATTTGAATAGAAACACGGGACTGTTAAAGAGGTAATTTAGATTACCTCATTTCATAAACAGAAACTCATCATGAGAAGAGTCTAAAACTGAGCCGAGGCATTTGAAAAGGCAACACGGGACATAGTTTCTCATTTATGCACCACCAACAATCTGTTCTGAGTTAAAGACTCATCGTTAGAAGAGTCTAAAACGGAGACGAGGCATTTGTTTAAGTAACTCGGGACAGTTTCTCAGCCATGCACCACCAACAAACTGTTTCTGAGTTAGAGACTCATCATTAGAAGAGTCCAAAACCGAGCCGAGGCATTTGAATAGGCAACACGGGACTGTTAAAGAGGTAATTTAGATTACCTCATTTCGTATTTAAAAACTCATCACAAGAAGAGTCTAAAACTGAGCCGAGGCATTTGAAATTGGCAATAGTTTCTCATTCATCCACCACAAACAATCTGTTTCTGATTTAGAGACTCATCGTTAGAAGAGTCTAAAACCGAGCCGAGGCATTTGTATAGGCAACATGGGACATAATTTCTCGGCCATGCACCACCATCAATCTGATTCTGATTTAGAGGCATTTATATTGGCAACAAGGGACTGTTAGAGAGGTAATTTAGATTACCTCGTGTCATCTGTACTGATTTCATATCCAAAATCTCATCACAGTGCCATTTAAATAAGCAACACGGGACAGAACTATATCAAGTTTGGATGAGAGTGGTACTACACAGATAATTCTAGTACAAACAACCCGTTTAGATATCCTTCTTTTTTCAGAAATTCTAAACGAATTGGGATGTTGATGTTTGAATGCTAGAGAAAAGGAATTTTGGATGAATTAAACGTAAATCTAAGCCTCTAAGGTATCTCCTAATTATATTTACCACAAAGCTTCTTTCTTGACTCAAGCACAAAAACGTAAAAGAGCCAGTTCTGAATGTAAAACAATAGAATAAGTATTGGCAGACACAACACCAAATCTAACCTTATCCATTTGCTTAGCTCCACTGGTCACCAATGCAATAGTTTTCTGAATGTTGCAAGGTCCAACAGTAGCCTGTTTACATGTAAAATTCCAAGAGACCATTAGAGCACTGAAAATTAGTTGAATCGACATTGAATTACTACAAGAGAAAGCTTCAGCAATTCGATTAGAAATGGTAATCTTGAAATACTCAAAACAATTCGATGCAAGAGAAATGCAAAAACCGATCAAAGGATGAAGTACCTCAGGAAGATCTTTCTTGATCCCGGTCTCCTCTTGTTCCTGAAATTTTTTTTAAGATGTTTCAGACGAGATATTTCAAAGTTTTTGAGACTAAAAACCAGGAGAGATCTTCTAATCCATACTTTGTTTGCTTTCATGTTAGCTAGAATTCCATCTACAGCTCCAGTCTGAAACAGATTTGAGTTTTGTTGTCAACGGGAAGAGGTTCTCAACAACCTTTCTGTTTTCTAGCAGCTGCAACTTCTATTGGCCTATTGCCTTCCTGAAAAAAAATCACAATTCTGGTAAAATTAGCAAAGTTAGGCAACAATTGTTTCATATCGGATAAAATGAGCAAAAAAAAAAAAGGTAGTTGCTAAACAACTGATTTCCAAGTTGGTTTTACCTCGTCTTTATGATTAGGATCAGCCACGGCTTTAACTAAACAGTTAATTAACTCAAGGTTCCAACATCAGCTGCAATGTTGGAGTTGCACCACCAGCAAAAACGTTAGCTTTGGCACCTGCCTGTGATTACAAAAAGAACATTTTTTCAGTTAGTTCTGATTTAAGATGCTTGGCAACTGAACCAATGCAATACTAGATATGACGACGTCATACCTTGACCAGCAGCTCTAAGCATGCTAGAGAACCCTCTGCCACTGCAGATAACAACAGAGTGATATCATCTTCAGCCTCAGCATTAGGCTACAAAATCACCAAACAAAAAACAATTTATAAGGTTTATTGGAAAGTACGGTTCCAGATGGAGGATCAAATAGAGATAGACAAAAAAAAATTACATTGGCATTGTGTTCTAACTTTGCTAGAAGTTCTGACTTCCACAGCATCTTTTTGGTCGTGGCCAGAAGCCCAGATTCACTTTCAGAATCAACAGGGACACCTCTGGAGAGCAATTCCTTTAGCAACTTGATTTCTCCTAACAAATGTATAGAGAAGACATGTAAGCAAAACTGGACAATGTTGAAATGAAATTAGTAACAGAACAATGATAACCAACCTGTTCTAGCTGCGTGAAGCAATGCTGTGGCTCCTAGTTCACATGCTATATTAATGTCAGCACCATGCTTTAAAAGATACTTTGGCGTTCCAATCTGTCCTTGCTGCGCAGAATGAACAAGCGGAGTATCCCCTGCAAAACCAAAGAATCTCACAGATCAAATTTCAAATTAACGAGTTTAGGAATAGCAAAGTTCTGCAATTGTAAAATACAAGGAAACACGAACCAGCTTCATGTTTTGCATCAGCATTGAGTTTCAGCTCTTCTAAAAGACATCTTCATATTTCAGTTTGTCCTTCTCTTGCAGCAAAGTGAAGCGCTCCACGTTTGTCCCCACGGTTTCTGTCAAGTTGGAGAAGTGATATCAGTAGACAAAAATCAATACTTGAAGAACATTGAGAAACAAAAAGTAAATAAAGAACTCACTCTTATGGAATTCAAGATTCGCTGTACAAGCTGCATTCATGAATTGCTGAAACTTCCTCCCTCGCTAGAGTAGGAATTTCAAAAAGGAAACAAAAACATACAAAATTAGTGCTGAACTTCCTCCATCGCTACAAAACTTATACTCTCCCACAAAGAGGCAGAACACAAAAAAAAAAAAAAAAATGTGTTGTGAAAAAGGCCAACACGTTCTGACATTATAGTCACAAACCAAGGAATCTATGAACACAAGACAACACCGGATCTGTATATTGAATTAATCTCAACTCGTCATCTTTTTGGTAACACACGAAAACCCTAACCAGAATCGAACAGTACGTTAATTAAAAACATCTTAGATGAATCGACTGAGACAAATCAACAGGTAAACCAAGAGATCAGATTACATGTGTTAGTAGAAACTGAACACAGGTAAAACCACAATGTCTGATTCTGATATGAATTGACTAAGACAAAAGAGAAAGAAATAATCAAACACCAAAACCACACAATCGTAGGATTAGGAAAGCAAGAGATCAGATTACCTGTTTTGTAGACAGACTTCATCGATGAACCAAATCAATCTAGAGCGATGTAAGTTGTAAGATGCGGCGGCGTAGAGAACCTCTCCGGGTTGAAACGGCGGCGTAGAGAACCTCTTTGGGTTGAAACGGCGCCAGAAATCTCCATACCCATACCTATGTATCTCTCTCTCTCTCTCAAATTCGTCTGTGGTTCGATCGGAGAAGGATAAGAGGAGAAGAATAGAAAGAAACCCTAATTAGAAAAATTAGATGTTTTATGTTGTTTATAGGAGACAAATTAGAATTCCAAAACGTCGCCGTATTTCTCATCAACGGTTATATTATTAATTTGAAAAACAATTTATGTTTTTATAGGAATTAGGAAACAAAAAAAAAAGAAATACGAGTCTAAAACATGACTTCGTCGTCGTATTGTAACGGCCACAAAACTATGTAATTAACGGTAATAATAATAATTTGAATCTATTGCAATTTGCAAATCTTTTTTTGCTACTTCGACACTTCAAATTGTGAATCCCAGTTAGGCAGAATCTCCAAGATGTTTTTTAAAAAAGGTCAAAAAAACCATTTGCTTCCTAAAGAGTAGAGAACAAGAAAAACACAAAGTCTTGAGAGAGAAGTAATTGTCACATTTAAGACAAAAGATAAGAGCAGAGATCAGAGGATGAATGAGACTTAAATCGTTGAGAAGGAACTCTTGACATTAATATTCACATATAACAGTTGTTCTATGGATCGAGGATCGAGAGGATTCACCCGCGAAGTATCCAACCGACTTTGGTGTTCTATGGATTCGAGGAAAGCGAGAAAGAGGCTGAATGTTGAGTTTTGCTTGAAGGGTCTTTTCTCGACGTGAAGAAACGTCCGGGGAAGATCTTTACTTCCGTGTCATTCCTCTGGATACAAGTAAACTAATTATCAACCTTACCAAATGATTGAGAAAGCATCTCTCTATCTTCTCTTTAGAAGAACTAAAAAACGTTAACCACTGACCAGAGAAATGCAAAGTGAGTTTGTGTAACAAAAGTGATGAATTTGGAAGAACGGTATTTGACTATCTTTATACAATGTTTCATAACAATCAGGATGTTGAATCTGTGAGGAAGAAAACAGTGAAAATATTTGTTCACAATGGTGCAAACAACACCTCCAAAGCATTGTTCTACTAACTCCTATATATTTTTTGACTTAAGACTCGAAACACTTTTCCATTTCCTGTAACATTGAAAAAGCTTTACTTAGTCTTCAGATACTTTTGATCCAACTGGTCCCTCTGCATAGCCTGCAATTCAAGAAGGTGGAACTGAAAACACACACATCATAAAAGAACAACATAAGCAAGTATTCACTCAAAAGGACCTTACATTTTCAAAAAATAAAATCTCAGGTCGAATATGCAGATTCCGAAATTTGCTGAGAACACCATCCCAGTCTCCAATTACCTGGAAAACCAAGATATATCACTCAGTCACAGATCAACTAACTTGCTTGTGTCTTTTACAAAATAAAAATTCTAAGCTTTACCTCTTCCTCAGAACCAACAAGTCTGACCCATCTTTTTTTTTCATAAGCTACACAGTTGTATTGATTTCCATGCGAGCAAACCTGTATATATTATTAACATTGGAGTTGTTTCTGGTAACATAGTCCTTAATAGGAAACCCAAATGGAAGAAACGAACTAGATAACTGGCTCTTACCATTGAGGCAAGACGGTATTTAGTGACTGCACTGTCACCCTTGTATTGATATATCGTATTAATATCAATCTCGGTCTTCAGAACAGAAGTAGTATCGAATATCTCTCCTTCAGTCTCATTGTTCTCCCACTCAAGTGCTAATCAATACAATAACAAAAAAATGCTAAGTCTACTGCATTATACTGATATCTAATGACCATTTTAACTTCAGAGCTTACCAATTGTGAAAACAGTTGGAGGTTTATATATCATACGTTGAACATAGTTTCGTTTCTCACATCCTTCCTTATCACAAGGCATCTTTAAGTCTATTCTGATGACCTGAATGATCTTCTCGAATGTAAACTTCTCGAACATTGCCTGTGATAACCAAAAACTTTTCTAGTCTCACTTTCAAGAAAGATAGCTTTCTCACTGGCATAAAAGATTAAGGACAACAGAAAGCAACTTGCCTTGACTTCTCTGAGTGTACCAGCATTGATGATCAGACCAAAACAACGTTCAGGTGGAAGATCCATACCCATCTTGCATCTATTGCAAATCTTTTTCGCCACTTCGTACACTTCAAAGTCTGAATCCCAGCGAGACATAAGCTCCAAGATGTTTAGAAACAGGTCAAAAACACCATTTGCTTCCTGAAGAGTGATGATAACAAACAACAAAAACATTTGAAGCTTGAGAAAGAAGTAACTAACAACACACATAAGACACAAAAGGCTTTACAAGATGAGAGGAGAGACCAGAGGATGAGTGAGACTGATTTTCTCAAGTAGGAAGTCACAAAGTAAGTCTTGTGGAAGAACAGATTCATCATCTGTGAGGCTTTGAGGTACTTCTTGAATATAATCCATCAAAAAGTGGCTTAAGAAAACACTTATCTTCCGCATAGACTGCACAAATCACATCCTTGAAAACGTAAATCAAATAAACAAAGATCGATAAAGATAGATTCAGGGCTTTGTATAATGAGTTTTGTAAAACCTTGAGAATCATATCAAAAGCTGAAAGAGAAGTGGCGTTCAGTATCTTCTCTTCAGATTCTTCAATGTTTGAGTCTGAGAGATCTCTGAATCATAGATAAGCACCAAAGGAGACGAATTCTCAGAGAAAATCTATCTAAGGGAAGCGAATTAAATCTACTCGGAGGATGAGATCTCAATACTTACGGATCAAGGTTCTGCACTTCTTGAGCCGCTGATGAATCCATCTTCTTGAAAGCAAAACGTTCTTTAGTTGAACCTCAGAGAAAACAACAACAATGGAGCTTTTCTTTCTGAATTTTTCTCGAGAAAAAGAGAGAAAACAACAATGGAGCGTTGAAGAGAAGAAGAAGAAGAAGAAGAAGAAAGTGATCTTTAAGTCAGAGTCAGTTGGGTTTGATCACGTGAGGGTCACGTGATATGTTAAGAATTGAGCGCGAAAACTCTTCCAACAAGTATCGTCGTCGTCGTCGTCGTCTCCTATGGTACTGTGAACTTTTGTCGAACACTTGGTGCGCACTATCCATTTTTTCAACTTTAGGCTTTTTTACCTTTTTATATCGGGTCCGGGAAATTTCAGAATACAGTAATCTCTGACCTCTTATTTACCAAGGCTGTAAACCGGAAATTAAAATCTTCGGAATTGGTATATCTTAACCGGTAGAGCCAACAAAACACAAAAACATTTAAACCAGTTTCCTTTACAAATCTCTCAAAGGCCAAAACTCAGAGCTTCTTTGATCCCAAACATGAAGATACGTTCCCGAATTCGAAAATCAAATCGATATTTTTGGGTTTTTGTCTGCTTATATTGTTCAGTGTTTACGTACGAGAAGGTTAAGCTACAACAATGTAGTCCACACGAGGAATGCTCACAAGGTGTTCGACACAATTCCCCAATGAGTCTCTGTTGTTGTTTTTATGTACAAGCTCTTGTCACGTGTCTCTCACGTGATAAAGTGTGAGTCTTTTGATACATAACCGTCGATGTTTCCCGCGTCTACTACTCTGTTTCCTCTCACAAAAGCAAAAAGAGAGAGATAAAGAAAGCTTGATAATCGTTACTCTTCTCCAAGATGAAGCCTCCTTCTCTGGAAGATTGTGAACTTAGCGAAAGTTACTTTGCTCATGGAGATCACATCAAGGCCATGGAGTTAATTGAAGACTCGTTTTTGGAACAAGGAGATCACATTAAGGTCCAAGATTTGCTTCTTTTTCAGCAAGGTGCCATCTTCAGGGCACAAGCGACAAGAACAGAGAACAGTGACGTGAAGTTCACGTTTTTATTGGGTTCTGTGGAATGTTTTTCAGTAAGTGAAGGGTTCTCATCGTTTTGTGCTGTTTCACTGTTCGAATTGGGCAAACATCTTGGATCGTCATTGTATTACAAGAAATCAGTTGAGAAAGCAAAAGAGTATCTATCTGTTTTGGCTAATTTTCGTGAATTGAGTTTGAAAGAGCAGAAGAGTCGAAAGGATATCGAAAGAATACTCAGAGATGCAGAGTCAAGGATCGCTGGAGCCAAGACTCTAGTTGGTTCAGTCAATAGAAGCGAACCAAAAGCGAGGGAGTCAAAGATAAATCCAGACCCGAAGCTGCGGTCTTGTTGGATGGGTTTGGATGATGAGTTCAAAAGAAACTTTCTGAAAGTAAGCACTGCAAAATTTATAAGTTTCATTGAGGGAATGTATGGGAAAGAGGGAAGAGATGCTTTAGAGCAAGTTCTCACTTCTGCCAGGGAAAACAGAAAATGGAGGTTGTGGATGTGTCGAACCTGTTCGAAGAAGTTTTCTAGTCCTGAAGAGTGTAAGAATCATTTTGGACAAGCACATGCTGCTGAATTTAAACCTTCTTCTGCAAAGGATATGGTCCAGACGATAAGTAAAGTCTGGGCTCGTAAGATATCAGTTGGAGGTTGGGAACCAGTGGATGTTGTAGCTGCCATTGAAATGATTAAGAATCGGCTCCAAGATGTGAAAGCGTTTGCATATGAGAATGGATGGTCTAAAGACTGGCCTTTAGCTGCAGATGACGAGCGCAGTCAGTTACTTAAGGAAATCCAATTGCTCCTTGTGTCATTTTGGGAGCGTAAAATTCTCTCTTGTAGCATTCGAGACTGGATGATACAGTTTGTGGTTAAGCATCTTGCACAATTTGAAGTTTCTGAGCATACTATAATTACCGAGTGTCGCCTAGTCGAAACACCTCAGAGTATCTGCTTTCTGGAATGTAATGAACTCAATCAAATCCTGAACTTTCTAAGAAACATCAAAGGTGAAAGGGGGGGATGGAACAGATCTGGTTTGCAGAGCAGTGGACAGCTTCTGGGATGGCACCCAAGTTAGAGAAAAGATTGACTTTGATCCTCAGTTTTCATTTCTACTTTTGGATAAGAGACTGCTGAAATGCGAGCTGACTCGATTTGATAATGAAGGGACAGTCAATGTTTTTGATCCCAATGATCACTATGCCAAAGCACAGGTTCATAGAGATGATATCTTATATTGGTTAGCAGACTACTCTTCAGGAGATGAGTTTTTTCGATTTCCCAGACCTATGAGGACACATAAAATTGATATTTGGGTGGCTGTTCTGAGAGCTGTTCAATTCACGTGTAGGACTTTGAGAACCAAATATGAAAAGAGATTGAAGATGATATGTTATGATGCAGCTCTTATTGACGCCAAAAACTTATGTGTACGCGAAGATCAAAGAAGAATGAATAATCCGGAAGATAAAAGGAACAGATGCAGATATGCATCTCTTCTACGCAATAAATGTGAAGAGCATATAATGAGAGACGCTGGAGATTCTTTCACTACAAAACTATTCTTGTGTGCAGTACGAGATGTTCTCGACAAAGCAGTGCAGCCGACATATGATTTTGTTGATCTAGTAGATTGCGTGAATTATATATATGGGCAAAAACACATCAGTGATGATTTAGTGTTGAAGTCCATTGATCTTCTGAAATCTGTGGTCACCAACAAGGTTCAGTTGTGATCTGAGTTTTACTTAAGCACATAAATATCACAAATTGTCACCTCAATGTATCCATTGACTTGCAGGTTCCGCTTGTGGATACAAAGATTTTGCTAGTTGAAAACTCGAGGATTAATTTGCTAAACGGCCTTGTCAAACTTTCTGTTTTTGACTACCGCTCTTATATCCTTCAACCGCTGAAACTTTTCCAGCAGGTTGGTTTGGTAACTTTGGCTTTATACAAAGAGCCTTCATCTTCCCTTTGGTTTTCTATTTGACAGTACCTTAATGTTAATGTATGTACCTTCTAGGAAGAGTTAGATGGAATTGCAGACATGGATCCCAAAGCCAAGTTAGCTGCAGCAGTTCCAGAACCTTTATCCGAGAAAAAACAAGAGAAGGAGAAGAAGTCAGGGTCAAAGAAGAAAAAGCATAGAAGCAACAAGGTCGTTGATGGTCTAAATTCTCTATTTGCTTCTCTGACTTTATGATTACTCAGTCGTACAAATGAATGGTCTTCATGGCATAACAGAGTACTTCAACGAGCATGTCTAGTCGTCTTAATCAGAATGTCGAACAGTAAGTATCTCTCTTCTAGATAAACTTTTGTCCTGTTCCCACCTACTTATTCTCTGAGCGTAAAATTAGGATAATTCTTCTAATTTGTAATTATATATTCTAGTAATTATCTTATTTTAGTTAGGATTTTCGAGGATTTTTGGTTTTCTTATTTATAATATAGGGGTTGTTCATTTGATAAGGAGAGTATTCTCAAACCATAGTAAGCTTCTGCTTCATCACACAAAACGTTTTTTGACCTATGTCTAGCGAATCTGATGTCAACCTTAAACCGGGAGTTACTTCACTAAACAGGCCAGAAGAAGATTCTTTGGAACCAGAAGATACTTGTGAAAAGGATCAATCTGAAGCTACTAAAGGTGACTCTGGTTATAAAGACCATCTCAATTGAAGAATATTTTTAATATTTTTTTGTCGATGTATTAATGTATAACTATAATTTCCTTAACTCACCATCTTCCAGATATGCATGGAGAAGATTCACTGTCCAAAAATTCGGAGTCGGTACATGGCAAAGCTGTAACCAGATACAATTCAGCTCTTGACATGATGCTGAAGGTAATTCCAAGCCTAAACTCTTTTCGTCTGATGCCATTCCTAGTTTTCATGTATTATATCTTTGAATTTTTTTACTACTGCAGTCACTCTGTAACATTAAAGTTCTTAAAGAGGATTTGGTGCACAATAGGCAACCATTTTCTGACTTCCAAGTTCCTTCTGCACTACGAAGTTTTTTTTCTGCTTTTGTCTCGGAGCAGATAAATGAAGATGAACTCTATAGTCACTTACTTTCAAACTTGCTTGCTTCCCTGGAAGAAGTTCATTCCCTGGTTTGTGCAGATAAACTTAAACTTATACGTAGTATTATTATTATACTCCATAGGCTTGAATGTTGTCTTTAATCTCATTCCTTTTTTTTAAACTCATTTCAGTCAAGTGATGGTGCTGAGGTACTTGTCGCAATCCTCGAGTTTTGTCATTGGTGGAGAAGTCCAGAAAAAGAAAGCTTCGTCACTCGCCTTTTTACGTTAGAGGTATTTGAAAGAATGAGTTGTAGAAAATGTAGAAGGAAGCCAAATTATCCGGAGCAAAGTTCTTATGGAATAGTTATGGATGCTGATTCTATCAGAGACATAAAGGTATGTTTCATTTATTTCCATATAGTTCTTTTCTACAGAAACTCGAACTAAAAGTCATGCTCTGTGGTTTTTATATATGCAGAGTGCCCTTGGGAATATAAAGTTTGAGGACATCCTTAAAGTGGTCCGCATGGAAGATAAAATGATATGTGATGTTAAAACAGGAGGCTGTGGAGAGACAAACTTTATCCACCGTACTATAAGTAGATGCCCACCTATCTTCACAATTGGTAAGTTTTGACCATGATTGTGTTCTTGTCTACTCGTTTCATTTACTGTGGAATGATTAAACATTGTTGCTGTTTTCGTGGGTTTGCAACATTAGTGTTGGAATGGGAGAAGAATGAAACTGAAAAAGAAATATCTGAAACAACAAAGGCGTTGGAGTGGGAGATAGATCTCAGCAGGCTATTTGAAGGCTTAGAACCAAACACTAAGTACCGGCTTGTGTCAATGGTAAAATCTGAAAAAGGGTCACAAGTGTTTGTGCAATTGTTCTTTTGTATCTCTTCTCTGTTACAGTCTTAGAATATGGGATGCAGGTTGGTTGTGGTGAAGATGAAGAATACATTTGCATGGCTTATAAGAAAAACCGGTGGGCTAGTCTCAGACATGAAGCTTCAACAGAAGAGGTAAGATGAAACAGTGGCCTTTCTCTTTCTTGAGCTGGGTGGTGATCTTTGTTGGGTTATGACATGATTGATATGTGTGGTGATGGCATAGGTTGTTGGTAGCTGGGAGAGTGTTGCCAGATACTGTGCTGAAAGGAAGGTTCGTCCAGAGATTCTGTTTTATGAAGCTGTTCAAAGGCCTAAGAAGGTGAATTGAAGAAGTAGCAGAACTCTTTGGGAACTCAAATTTGCTAGAACAAAACAAGTTTTTTTTCTCTTTATATTGATGTGTTCCAGACCCTTAATGATCTTATGTCGTACAACAAAAGGTGTGATTAGTGCAGTTTAAGTTTGTGTAGTAATAATTATATTTTATGCAGAATTTAGTGTCCATTATTATCCTAATCAATTTTTTAAAGCAATTTGAAGATTCAACAATTTCAAGATTTGTTAATTGAATCCGTAAAATTTCCAATTGGTTTGTAAGATAAGATCTTAACAAATCTTAGCTTAAGATACTTGTTAAGATCCCATCAATAATGTTGGTCTAAGACCATAAAATTTCGCGAGATTTTCATAAAAAAATGTAGTACAGTATTGTTAGAAAAATATTTAAAAGGAAACTGGACCAGTGGAGCAAACTTCTCACTAGGATTTGTTGTATGGGCTAATAGACTTCACACCAGACAATTATCTTGGGCTTGTTTTGGATCCACTAATTGTTTTTTAAGTATGTAACCCTAGAATAGAAATCTTATAAATAGTATCTAACCCTAGAATAGAAGGTTGAGCTTCCAGAACTTTCTAGTCGACGTTAACAATAGTCAAAGTCTCACTCCTTCTCTTTCTCGTCGTCGTCTCTAGCTCTTTGTTTTAGGTAATTCGTCGTAATCTTTGTTAAAGCTTTCAACTTTTTCGTCTCTTAAGAGAATAAAGTGGAGAACTTTGTAATGTAGCTAGCTTCTGGAATCTATAGCTCTGTTGTAACGTCGTTTAAAAAAATCTTGTCTTGTGTAATTTTGTAGAATGGATAAAAGGGATTTTGCTGCAGAAGCTTATGCTCTTATGAGTAACTTTAGAGAGAATCATCCTCCTTCTTCTTCTTTCCCACAGGTTCGTCATGTTTTTTCTCAAAGCTTTCAACTTTTTCTTAGTCTTAAAGAGAATAAAGTTCAAAACTTTATGTAGTTCTGTGTGGTTTCATTAAACCCTCTCTTGTGTTATTGTGTAGAGAGGTTCAAATGCATCAGATTCTGCAGTGTTGAGGAGTTTGAGAGATCATCTTCCTTCTTCTTCGTCTCTTGTCAAACTATCTCAGCTTACCACTGTCAACAACAGATACGAATCCCCTCTCTTCTCGTCTGGTGGATACAGCTGGTATGTGACCTTGTTCTAAACTAAATTTCATACCTTTCATCAGTATAAGTAAGAAAAATGTTGTCTTTTTCTAACCCACCTACGTATGTGATCTTGTTCCGAGCTAAAATTTCATATCTTTCATCATTATAAGTAAGAAAGTTTCTGTTTTTTGTAACCGATCTGTCTCAAAACTATGAAAATCAGGAGGTTGGTTGTATACCCTAAGGGAAACGAAGAAGACAATGGAAGTGGATTTGTGTCAATGTATGTGGAACTTGACAAAAGCTGCCTCTCATCTACAACAACAACACCCAAAGAGGTCTTTGCTTATCTCTCTTTGTTTGTCTTTAACAAGAAAGAGAACAAGTACTTCTCTGTTCAAGGTTCGTAATGCTCATAGCTTATATATCTATCTCTCTCCTATGAATGAATCAGTGATGTGTATAACATCTTAACTATTAACATGTAGATGTGGAAGTAAAGAAATTCAATGCTTCACGAACTGTCTGGGGAGTGTCTCAAGTTCTTCCACTTGAGAAGTTCAATGACCCTGCCAATGGATATATCTTGGATGGTGAAGAACATGAGTTTGGTGCGCATGTGAAGATTGCTTCAGCACCCGTCCCTGTTGATGAGAATCTCCCATTTCACAAATTCACTTGGAGTGTTCGTGATTTCTCTCTTCTGAAACAGGGTGATTACGTATCCAAAACCTTTCAAATGGGAGAGAAGAAGTGGTGAGTCTTTGAAAGTCTTGTTTTTTTATTTCCTGATATAATTGTTGTAACTTTCTAACAAGTGGGACAATCATGTTTTTACAGGACTCTAACAATGTATCCTAAGGGAGACTCTAGCACAGAGGGCGAGTTATCCAAGTACTTTCATTTAGCTGAGGGTGAAAGGTTATTGACAGGTGAGATGATTATGGTGCGAGCAAAGATGCAAGTTCTAGACCCGCGTGGATCCAATCACCTATCAGGAGGATTCCGTAAGTAAAAAAAATGTTACTATTGTTAACTTATGATGTCAAATGTCCTAGTATACTTTTTGAGTAGAAACCAGAAGTTTGATGAAGTATATTAACTAATGTGATTTGCATACTTTTGCTTGTTTTGTAGTTCAATGTTGGGTCATGGCTTCAAACACAGCATGGGGTCTTCCTCAGTCCATCTCTTTAGCTGAAATTGAGGAGAGCTACTTGGATGCTGAAGATACTTTGAATGTAGAGATGGAATGTGAAATCACTAGCACCACCAAGAGCCACCCTTTCTTTTAGGCCACCCTCTCAGTCTGTGATATGACTTACCTACTACTCTATTCTATGTGTGGAGACTGAATGTGAAGTTAACACTCTTATCTATCTAATTAGCTACGATGCATGCATGTGTGACTACTCTGTTCTCTGTTGTATGCGTTTGTTTATTAAGGATCTTAATTATGGTTTGTGTGTTGAGCTTTTGTTTATTCCTTAAATCTGTTTTATTATGGTTTGTCTCCTACTTACCAGTTTAACAATGTTCTATGTGCAATTTGGTAATCTCTTATTGACTTTTCTATTAAGGTTAACATCAAATGCAATAACTGTTAAATTACACAATTTTGTACAATTTTTTTTTGAAGGCCAAAAAATAGGAATATGTTCCAATCAATTTCTCATGAAACTTTTTTTCTTTTTGAACATAAAATTTCTCATCATTTATAATGTAAAATTTGCTTATTATGTTGTCTATGAATTTATGTTGTTAATTATCTAATCTATTCTCATCCCATAAGAGAATACATTCATAAATATCTTATAAAAAAATTCATAATTAAAAAATATTTTTATGTATCCATTTTGTTTACAGTACCAAACAAAACATGACTTATTTAATATTTGCCAGAAAAATATATGAACTTTTTTCATTGCTATAAAATACGTAAATGAATTTATATTTAATAAAAAATACACGAACTATCCTGATTTTCCAATTTCTCACATATTGTAGTTCGATTTTTAACGAAATTAACATAATCATAAACATTGTTCGGCCCTTTTTTGTTTTTTTTTCTAAATATCTAATCATAACAAAAGTTTAACAATGAGAAAATAAAGATTGAAAATAAAGCTAAAATATCGAAAAGAAAGAAATTGTTATGATTATGGCTACAACAAAAGTGAAGCTTTTTCACGAGATTGTAATTGTAACCATTTTTATGACTGCGTTAATTTTATTGAAAATCGTGACTATGATAGGTGGAAAACTGGAAAATCAGAATAGTTCGTATATTGTTGATCAACTATAAATTATTCTACGTAATTTTTTTTTGGCAACGAAAAAAATTTATGTATTTCTCATGACAAATATTAAATAAATCAGGTTTTTAATTGGAATTTCCGCCCCCCCCCCCCTTTAAAATAAAATGAATATAAAATAATGCAACATATATATTCAACATATTATTATTATAACTTTTTTTTTCGAAATTTATATTCAACATACAGTCTCTTAAACACAACATATCTGGGTTACATCCAATTACGATTATCCCATCTTCATCTCTGATCCCAACCTCGAAAATTGCACAATATTTTTGGGTTTTCGTCTGTTAATACACACAATTTCTGGGTTTTTGTCTGTTAATTCCGGGGAAGATGAAATTAAATCGGAAGAGTTGTGTAAAACAGAGAACGCACACAAGCTGTTCGATAAAATTCCCCAATGGGAGTGTTGTTCGAAAACGAAGACATCACCACTTGGGTTTCTCCTGTCACGTGGATCTCACGTGATAAAAGCTTCACCAACTCGTTACGTGGATCACACGTGATAAAAGGTTTCATCTTTGTTGTTGTTATCATCGAGTTTCTATCTGAATCAACAACCCTAGAAGAGTAAAGACCAAGAAATCGCAAGAAAGCTTGAGAAAGGATCGTTCTTTGCTCTTTTCTCTAGACATCACCACTTGGGTTTCTCTTGTCACGTGGATCTCACGTGATAAAAGCTTCATCAACTCGTTACGTGGATCACACGTGATAAAAGCTTCCATATTTTTGTTGTTATCATCGAGTTTCTAGCCGAATCAACAACCCTAGAACAGTAGGGATCAAGAAATCGCAAGAAAGCTTGAGAAAGGATCGTTCTTTGCTCTTTTCTCCATGATGAGTTCTCTTTCTTTTTTACTTGAAGATCCTGAGGAAGCAAAACTCAAGAAGCTTGTTAAAGGTTACTTCGATCAAAGAGATTACATCAAGGCATTAGAGGTGATTGAAGATTCGATTTCGAGTCGTGGGAAAGATAAGGTTCCAACAATGGTTTATTACCTACAAGGTTCTTTCTTTTTTGAACAAGCGACTAAAACAGAGAACAATGGCATGAAATTCCCGTTCTTGTTGGCTTCTGTTGAATGCTTTTCGAAAGATTGTGGTGTACACGCTTACTCTGCAATTGCACTGTTGGAAATGGCTAAACTTCTTGGCTCAGCATCGTTTTGCAAGAAAGCTCTGAACATTGCTAAAGAAGGCTTGTCTTTTCTTGAATCTTTTGGTGGTTTGAGTGTGAGTGAGGGAAATACTAAAATTTCTCTAGAGCATGTAGTCCGAACGGCAGAGTCAATGATCCTCCTTGGTGTTACTGCAGAAAAGTCTGAACCAAAACTTAGGGAGTCAAAAAGGATTCAGGGCAGTGTAAGGAGTGATCTGCATACTGCTGCAGGTAAAAGATTGAGGTCGTATTGGGCGAGTATGGATGTTGAGAGTAAAAGGAACTTCATGAAAGTAAGCACTGCAAAACTTACAGCTTATGTCGAGAGATTATATAGGAAAGAGGGACTAGATGCTTTCGAGCTAGTTCTCGATTCTGCAAGGATAAACAGAAAATGGAAATTCTGGATGTGTCGATCTTGTTCACAGAAATTCTATTATCCTAAAAAGTTTAAGAATCATCTTGAACAAGAACATGGCGCAAAATTTAAACCTTCTACGGTAAAGCATATGGCGCAGAGGGTAGATGATATCTGGGCTGGTATGATATCGGTTGCAGGTTGGGAACCTGTTGATGCAGTAGCTGCTGCCAAAATGATCAAGACTCAGCTTGAATTTGTGAAAGAGTTTGTATATGAGAATGGATGGTCAAAAAACTGGCCTTTAGCTGCAGATGAAGAACGCAGTAAGTTACTCAAAGAAATCCAGATTCTCCTTGTTTCGTTTCAGGAGCGTAAAATTCTCTCTTGTAGCATTCGGGATTGGATGATGCAGTTTACGGTTAAGCATCTTGCACAATTTGAAATTTCTGAGCATACGCTTACCTCTGAGTGCAGCTTAGTGGAAACGCCTCAGAGTATTTGCTTTTTGGAGTGTCCTGAACTCAATCAAATTCTAGACCTTCTCAAACTCATTAAGTATGAAAGGGTTGATGGTACAGAGCTAGTTTCCAACGCAGCAGACAGTTTGTGGGGTCGTTTGCGGGTTAAGGAAAAGATCGAATTTGACCATGATTTTTCATTTATGCTACTGGATAAAAGACTGCTGAGAGGCAAGATTGCTTCATTTGATGATGAAGGGACGATAGGTGTTTGTGATCACTGTGTTCACTACACCAAGACGCATCCTCAGGGTGATGATATCATAACCTGGTTACTAGACTACCCTTTGATAGATGAGAGCTTTGAATTTCCAAGATCTATCAGGGCCCACAATCTTGAAATATGGGTGGCTGTTCTGAGAGCCATTCACTTCACGTGTAGGACTTTGGAAACCAAATATGAAAAGAAGTTACAGATCCTAAACTATGATGCAGCTCTTTTTGACGCCAAAAACTTATGTCTACTCGAAGATGAAAGGAGAAAAAATGTTCCAGAAAATCAATGGAACACATATGCATCTCTTCTATGCGATGAATGTGACGGGCGTCTAAAGATAGACGCTGGAGATTCTCACACTACAAAACTATTCTTATGTGCAGTACGAGATGTTCTTGAAGGAGCATCACATCCAACATTCGATTTCCCCGATCTAGAAGATTGCCTGACTCTTATACTTGGACATAAAAATCTCAATGATGATATAGTGTTGACGTCCATAGACCTACTGAAATCAGTTGTCACCAACAAGGTTCAGTCCTGAGCTGAGTTCTAATTTTACAACAGAATAACATAAATTGTCACCTTAAAGTATATATTCACTTGCAGGTTCCGGTAGCTGATTCAAAGATTTTACTGGTTGAAAATTCGAGGATTAATTTGCTAAACGAGCTCGTCAGGCTTTCTGTTTTTGACTACCGTTCTTATATCCTTCACCTGCTAAAACGTTTCCTGCGGGTTGGTTTGTAACGTTGATTTGTTAAAGGAACTATTGTATTCTCTCTGATTCTCTCCTTGACAGGTACCTAATATTATAATTATGTCTCTTCCTTTAGGATGAGTTGGATGGAATTGCTGATATGGATGCCAAAACCAAGTTAGGAGCAGCACTAGCCGAACAATTATTTGAGGAAAACCAACAGAAGGGGAAGAAGTCAGGGTCAAACAAGAAGAAAAATAAAAGCAACAAGGTTGCTGAATTTCTAAATTCTCTATTTGCTTCCATTACTTTTTGATTACTCTGTTGTTAGAATTAATGTCCTTCATGGTGTGACAGAGAACTTTAGCAAGCAGGTCTAGTATTCTTAATCAGAATGTTGAACAGTAAGTCACGCTCCTCTAGATAAGAACTTTGATTTTCTAAGCTCTTTACATATGTCCAGCGAATCTGAACTTTTTAAAGATCTTTACGTATGTCCAGCGAATCCTCTGTCAAACTTGAACCGGAAGTTACTTCTTTATCACCAAAAACAACGGAAGAAGATTCTATGGAACCAGAAGATACTTTTACAAGTGAAACGGGTCGACTAGAAGTTTCATCCAACACTGAAATTCAAGAGGAAGCTTTTAAAGGTTAGTTCTCAGTTGATGAATATTTTGAACTCTGTTGTTTTTGAGATGCATTATTCTTATTTCATTCATTTGCCATCTTTAAGATATCCCTGGAGAAGGTATACTGTCAGAACATTTTGAGTCAGCACATGAAGAAGCAACTAGATACAATTCAGCTCTTGACATGACGCTGAAGGTAAAGCAGACACCAACAAAGATATGATTCAAAAATCTGAGCTCTCTTTTACCGACTCAGCTCATTCGTTATTTTCATACAATATATCTTTGTTTACTTATTTCCTTTAACAAATTATGATACTGCAGGGACTCTTGAACATTAAGGTTCTTCAAGAGGATTTGGTGCAAAATCGCCAACCATTTCATGGCAACCTGGAAGAACAAGTTCCTTGTGCACTAAAAGATTTATTTTCTGCTGTTGTCTCGGCACAGATAAAAGAAGATGGACTCTACAATTACCTACTGAGCAACTTGCTTGCTTCCCTAGAAGAAGTTCATTCTCTGGTTTGTGCGGATTAATATAAGCTTCTGAAACTTTCTCATTGTTTTCTTAAATGTCATTCTGTTCTTTTTTACACTCTTCAGTCAAGTGATGCTGCTGAGGTAGTTGTCGCTATCCTTGAGTTCTGGCATTGGTGGAAAAGTCCAGAACGAGAAAGCTTGGTAACTCGTCTTTTTACGTTGGAGGAATATGAAAGAATGAGTTGTAGAAGATGCAGAAAGGAGCCAAATTATCCAGAGCAAAGTTCCTATGGAATTGTAATGGCTGCAAATTCTATTAGAAACATAAAGGTATGTTTCATTTATTTCCCTCTGTCTTGCCTACAGAAACTGGTACTACTCCTTAAAAAGCTGTTCTGTGTGTTTATATATCTTTGCAGTGTGCTTTTGAGGCTATGAAGTTTGAGGATATCCTTAGAGTGATCCGGGTGGAAGATGAAATGATATGTGATGTTAAAACAGGGGGCTGTGGAAAGACAAACTTTGTTCGCCACACTATAAGCAAATGCCCGCCTATCTTCACAATTGGTAAAAGTTTTGACGATGATTGTGACCTTTTTTTTGTTTTCTTTTTGTTTTATCAACGAAAATGATTGTGAACTTATCTACTCATTTCATTTATTATGGTATGGTAAGACCGTGTTGCTGTTTTTGTGTGTTTGCAACATTAGTGTTGGAATGGGAGAAGAATGAAACTGAAACAGAAATATCTAAAACAACAAATGCTCTGGACTGGGAGATAGATATCAGCAGGCTATACGAAGGGTTAGAAGAACCAAACACTAAGTATCGGCTTGTGTCAATGGTAAAAATCTGAAATGAGGCCACAAGTATATGTGCTATTGTTCTTCTGTATCTATTCTCTGTTACATCAGTCTCGGTATATGGAAAATGCAGATTGGTTATTGTGAAGAAGGAAAATACATCTGCATGGCTTATAAAAAGAACCGGTGGGTCAGTCTCAAACATGAAACTTTAGCAGAAGAGGTAAGATGAAACAAGTGCCTTTTCTTTTTGTGAGTTGAGTTTTGAATTTAGATAGGTGAGACATTATTGATCTGTGGTGATGCAATTAGGGTGTTGGTAACTGGAAGAATGTGGTCAGAATCTGTGGAGAAAGGAGGGTTCGGCCAGAGATTCTATTCTATGAAGCTGCTTGATCCATGGAATAGATATTGACAAAGTTATATCAATATGGACACCTACCATTCATGTATAAAACAGTCACATGTTCCACTTTAAAAGTAGTTTTGTTTTCATATGATATGTTTGAGAAAGAGCAACACGAACAGAGAGTTTGAACATAGACAATCTAAACATGAGAAGATGACAGTTCATATACATTAGCTGTTGTTTTGAAGGTTGAGATTGATTCATCTTCTAGCTATGAGGCAGCCTCGTATCAGTGAATGTCATGTGGATGCTTCAACCATCATAGCTCATGATTTTCAAAAACTGAACAAAGTAGTGAAATGAGATCGTTCGTTCCAAGAGTTTTCACAAGGAAACGAAACAATCATCATGCTGTTATTACTAGAATCGAACCCGTGCTACAGCACGGAAAAAAGGTATCGGGTTATTATTAATATGTTTTAATTTACTAAGTGATACAAATGTATTTTAAGATTTGTTTCCTTTACAAATATATCATTTTTATATTATGATTTTGCTATTTTTGTAACTTATTTTTCTAATAAGTTTGTAATGAACATTATCCAAAAATAGTAGCGAGTATGGTTAGTGAATGAAGCTGTGTTAAATAAATGTAGTTGATTATGGTGAATCATACATGTCTGATATATGTTTTGAATGACCAATCTGTAACGTAATGCATTCGTAAAAATATTATTGATTACTCGCTCTACTATATAATTGTCAGCTTAACAAAATATTATTGATATTGAAAAGAACTAAGAAAGTGTTACTGATTAATTAATAGCGAATTTATTTAAATCTTACTGATTAATTCAAAAGTGTTATGCAATAAAAATTATTAAACTGGACACCAAAAACACCAAAATCTCTTTCTCGTAATTTATTAGTAAAGAGATTTTGGTTATGGTGATCAGCTTTATAGTAAAAACTTAACAATCATATTGACATTTACATAAACGCTGGGGAGGGTTACCCTTCCAAACAAAAGCGGCAGAGCATTCGCAACGTGCGACTAGATCTTTTGGTGCACCAGGAATTTTTTTAAGGTCGTTTACGCATGAAACCTTCCCATTAGTTCCACACTCTCCAGGAAATGTTCTATTCATGTCGCATCCCCATTTTTTTTTGGATTCCACCTCTATTGTGTTATTATATTATTATTATATATATCAACAACAAATATATTATCAGATTATGAAAATATTAAGAAAAAAAAATTGATGATGAGAAATAAAACTAAAATTACCTCTAACATGGCTGATAACGAGGAATGTGAGAATACAAGAAACCGTAAACAAAACACCATATTTCATGACTCCGAAAATAATAAACCTGTCGTCTTTCTTTACTGTAAAAAAGATTTATAGTTTTTCTTACTATAAAAGAGTTGCTCTTTTTTTTTTCAACAACACTTACAATAAATATGCTCTATACATGATAAAATTAGATGTTGCGATTAATTAGGGGAAAAAATTAAAAGAAAAAGATGGAGTGTACGTAATTGATGGAATCCGTTTTTTTATACTTTGAAAAGTTCTCTTGTAGATAATTTAATGTTGTAATCTGTTTACATCCCCAAAAGTAAAACATACAAAAAAAAAATTAATGTTAAAGAATAGAAATTCCAAAATATCCCACAGTTTCTACATGTATTATATATCAATCTTTTTTACATTACTTAAAAAAAAAAATTATGAATTATAAAGCTTGGTTTCACAAGTTACCTACTCACAAGATCGTGACATGTGTTAAATAAAACATAAGATATCGTCACGAGTCATATCTATTTTGGTAATGATACTATTTTATTATAAATTATAATAAAGTTATAATTTAAATTTTATTTTGAACAAAGGGCAAAAATTTATTCTTTTTAGTTAGTATTTTTGGAATTTACAAATTTTGTTAGAGTTTTTTTTAATAATTATAAGATTACAAACCAAGTTTTATTAAATCAATTTGATTATACATGTCCTATATTGCTATTGTTAAGAAAATAATAAAATGAAAAATTTATCCATATTGAAATATGAGATTAATGATATTTTCATGTTTCTTAGTAATATAGATTCAAACCGTTACATCTTAAAACCCGTCCCATCATATAATCTATTTTTTTGTTAAGCTTAAATATATCAACTATAATACTTTGAACTTCTTAAATTTTGACATTGTCTATATCGAATTAAATGATATACAAACTTTAAAGTTTGGATTTGGGAAAGTAGCAAAAATCAACCCAGACTATTTGCTGGCAGGTTTTTTTATACCCAAACTAAGATACCAAGCAAATAGTAACTTAAACTCACAAAAACATTCAAATTTCGAACCTAAACTATATGAAATCAGCCAAAATCAACATATACAGAAACAATGTTAATTAACGGAAAAATGTCATTAAAATCCTGGAGAGTGCGATTCGTTGATTTAAAGCATGTACTCTCATACTGTTGATTTAATTCCCAAAGTTTTTGTTGACTTTCTCTTTATTATTAAACTTTGGTTGACTTTGCCAATTTAGGGACATCGTTAAATAGACAGACGGAGCAATTAAACGGGGGTTAATCTCTCATTAACGAGATCCATCAACTGCAAAACAAAATCGTTTTAAACCTAACCCAAAACACCCAAATTGAAATCGAAAATCTTAACCCAAAATCCCCAAACCGAAATTGAATCTCATACCCCAAAATCTCTAAATCTTCTCAATTTTTTTTCCATTTGTGTCAGTTTGTCTCTTTTTTGATTAATTTGTCTCGATCTCTAAACCACTCAATTTCCCTCAATTTCGATTCAGATGAGTTCTAGCTCAGAGACATCAATGATAGCTTCGTTCGAACGTGGAGTGCCATCGAAGTGTGTATATGGAGCTGGTGTAATGATCTTCACATCGAGAACTCAAGGAGGGTTCACCAGAGGTTCTATTCTATGAAGATGCTTGATCGATGACATAGATATTGAAAAATTTATGTCAATATGGACACCTACCATTTATGTATAGAGACATATTCTACTTTAAAAACAGTTGTGTTTTTATAAGATATTAGGTTTTAACTCGCGGTACACCGCGGGACGATTTTTGGACTAAATTTTTTATATTTAATTTTTTTTTTTAATTTTGCTTAGTGTTTAAAATTGTGTAACTGTATTTTGATTGTGAATTTTATTACTTATAAGCTCGTTGGATAATTTTTTGTAACTAATATTTTTTTTGAAGTTGTATTTGTTTATTAATTTTTAAGTATTTAAGATTGTACAATGATATTGTGATGGTTAATTATATGATTTAACCTGTGGAATACAACATGACAAATTGTTTTGTTATATATAACCTTAATTTAATCAACTAAATTTAAGTATGTATAATATTTCATTTAACTCATTTTATTTCAGACTAAAATATTTTGTGTGTAAACAGTAAGAAAAAATATAATCATATTTATATAAACTCAAACCCGTTCAATCAAATTTATTTAAACTCAAACCCATTCAATCAAATATAATCATAGTTATAAGCATATTAGTCTTATTTATAATGTTTTTGAACCATTTTCTAAAATTTTCTACCCGATGTGTGACGTTGTACATTTTTTAATTTATGTAATAATATAATTTTTAAAACAAATAAGATCATATAAAGATATTTGAGAGATATTCAATTTATTAGGGAGATATTTTAGGAAAACCGATGTAGTTGTAGATCTTTTACAAATTTAAACCTTATAGTTAGTAAAATTATAGAAACGGCAAGGGTTTATGATTGCAAATAATACAAAATAAAAGATTACTTTCCAAAAGGTACTTCAAAAATGTTAATATAGATGTTTGAGAATTAGCAACTTGAAACAAAGAGCTTGAGCAAAGACAATTTAAACATGAGAAATTTGGTTATGGTGATCATCTTTATAGTAAAAACTTAACAATCATATTGACATTTACATAAACGCTCGGGAGGGTTACCCTTCCAAACAAAAGCGGCCGAGCATTCGCAACGTACGACTAGATCTTTTGGTGCACCAGGCATTTTCTTTAGGTCGCTTTCGCATGTACTCTTCCCATTAGTTCCACACTGTCCAGGAAATTTCCTATTCATGTCGCATCCCCACTTTTTTTTGGATTCCACCTCTATTGTGTTATCAGATTAACAAAACTATTAAGATAAACAAAAGTATTAAGATAAACAATTGATAATGCGAAATAAATCTAAAATTACCTCTAACATGGCTGAGAACGAGGAATGTGAGAATACAAGAAACCGTAAACAAAACACCATATTTCATGACTCCGAAAATAAGAAACCAGTCGTCTCTTTTTATTGAAAAAAATTATAGTTTCTCTTGTATTTTTTATTTGATCTACAACACTTACAATAAATATACTCCATACATGATAAAATTAGATGTTGCGATTAATTAGGAAAAACTAAAATAAATATATGGAGTCAAGTCTACGTAATTCATGGAATCCGTGTTTTATTTTCTTGAAAAGTTCTCCTATAATTTAATTTTCTAATCTATTAACATCTACGAAAAGAAAACACAAAAACATTTATGTAAAAAATAGAAATTCAAAAACATGTCGCAAAGTCTTACATATATTATATATCAATCTTATTTACATTATTGTTCAAAAATAAAATGAATAAGATACTCTGAATCAATGTAAAAACATATATATTATATATATGTGTGTGTGTGTGTGTTTAAGATTTTTCTTTCCATTTTACCTACTCGGAAAAATTAAAGGAATAAAATGTAGGTCTGATAAAATGTAGGTGTGATAAAACTTACATGTAAAATAAAACTATATTGTTTTTTCGTTGCTATAATATTCATTGTTATGACTCTTACATTATGCAATTATATCTATATTAGTATTTTTGCAAGCTTTTTGTGCAACATTTAGTGACCACATATATTGTAATTTTTTTTTAAATTCTTTTCCTAAAAAAATACTATGTTGGAGGTTAGTTTCAAACCCAGAAGTCTAGGCCAGGGCAAAATACCCGAACTCAAAAATCCGATCTGAACCCGATTTGAAAAACCCGATCCGAACCCGAACCCAAAACCTATAAATACCCGAACGGGTTCTATATCTCTAAACCCGAAAATCCGAACCCGAACCGAACCGAAACCCAAACGGATATACGTATACACTTACAATATATATAAAATAATAATTTGTTAATAATGTATATATATTTGTAATAATATAATGTCACAATTAGGTTCTTCTTCTAGGTCACAATTCGTGGTGGATGTTGAGAATGAAGAGAACTGGACTTGGTTTTTACAGAAGTACTCGAGTTGTCTACTCAAAACGACGTCGTTTACTCCTTTTGTTGCCACGTCTGCGCCAACGGGTCGGCTGACTAAGCACCGTCAAAAGCCGAATTCACACTGTTTACGTAGATGTTGGAATCGACAAAATTTGATGTAGTTTAGGCTGGTTATTTAAATTTTAAGATGGTTTAGGTTGTAAAATACAGAGTATTCGAGTTGGGATATGAAAATCCTTTCGCTGAATAGTCTAGGTTGATTTCCCCCGTTTTCCCGGAATGAGTTCTCATTCAATTTACATTTTTTACCGAATTTAATATCAAATGAAAAATTACAAAATACTAAAAACATATATGAAAATTTTCTACGTTATGTTCATAACTTAATTTTAAAATTAAAACATTTACAACAAATTTAATTAAAATAGTAAAAATATTAACGAAATTATTATGGATGGGTACAGCTTTAAACCATTGTGGTCTGATCTTTCAAACTCAACACTTTACTTACAATTTTACAAACCATTTTTAGTTTCATCCCATTCCCATCTTTGATCTTGAAAATGAAGACTTCACACAGTTTCTGCTGTTTATATATTCCTTTACTCAGAGAAGGTACAATAAAATCAACTCACGTTTGTGTAATTTGTTCAAATCAAGGAGTGCCCACAAGGTGTTCGACACAATTCCTCAACGAACTTGCACGTGGATCTCACGTGGTTAAAGCTTCAACATCTTCGTCACGTGGATCACACGTTATAAAAGCTTCGTCTTGTTGTTTCTTCTTTATCTTCTCCCGCTTCGCAAAAAACCCTAGAGAGAGAGAGACCAAGAGAACGCAAGAAAGCTTGAGAGAATCAAAGCATGGAGCTTTCTCCTTCTCGAAGCCTAGGAGACGATGGGTATAAAGAAAGACACGAACTTGCACAACGTTACCATGATCATGGAGATTACATCAAGGCCTTGGAGGTAATTGAAGATTCGATTTTGATGATCCGTGAGAAACACAAGATTCCATCAGATCTACATTTCCTACAAGGTTCTATCTTTTTGGAACTATCGAAGAAAGCAGAGAACAGTGACTTGAGATTTGTGTTCTTGTTGGGTTCTGTTGAATGCTTTTTGGAAGATTACAAGGCACAAGCCTTCGCTGCAATTTCTCTTTTCCATTTGGGTGAACTTCTTGGCTCAGCTTTGTATTACGGGAAATCAGTGAGGGTTGCAAAACAGAGTTTATCTCTCATGGATTTTAATCCATTGGACTCTGTTCAGCAAAATAATAAACGTGAACTTGGAGGTCTAATGGAAAAGGCAGAGTCAAGAATCCGCCATGGTTTTACTGCAAAAAGATCTGAGACAAAACTTAAGGAGTCAAAGAAAATAAGAATCAAGATGAGGAGTGATTCGCATACCGTTGCTATGAAAAGATTGAGGCCGTATTGGGAGGGTATGAATGCTGAGAGTAAAAGGAACTTCTTGAAAGTAAGCACTGCAGAGCTTAGAAGTTATGTCGAGAGATTATATGGCAGAGAAGGAGTGGATGCTTTAGAGGAAGTTTTTGACTCCACAAGGTTAAACAGAAAATGGAAATTCTGGATGTGTGGAGCTTGTTCACAGAAGTTCTTTTATCCTAAAAAGTTTAAGAATCATCTTGAACAAGTTCATGCTACAAAATATAAACCTTTGAAAGAGGATTTGGTTCAGAGGGTAGATGAAGTCTGGACTGGTATGATATCGGTTGGAGACTGGGAACCTCTAGATATAGTAGCTGCCGCTGAAATGATCAAGAACCGGCCTGAAGTGGTGAAAGAGTTTGTATATGTGGGTGGATGGTCTAAAGACTGGCCTTTGGCTGCAGATGAAAAGCGTAGGAAGTTACTAAAGGCAATCCAATTGCTCCTTGTTTCGTTTTTGGAGCATAAAATTCTTTCTTGTAGAATTCGAGACTGGATGATGCAGTTTCCGATGAAGCATCTTGCACAATTTGAAGTTTCTGAGCTCACTTTTGCTACCTTGTGCCGGTTAGTGGAAACACCTCAGTGTATCTGCTTTTTGGAGTGTCGTCAACTCAGTCAAATTCTAGACCTTCTCAAATCCATCAAGTGTGAAAGGGATGATGGTACAGAACTGATTTCAAAGGTAACAGACAGTTTATGGAGTCGTACTAGGGTTAAAGAAAAGATTGATATTGACCATGAATTTTCATTTATGCTTCTGGATAAAAGATTGCTGAGGGGAAAGATTGCTTCATTTGATGATGAAGGGTCAATAGATGTTTGTGATCACAATGTTTACTATGCCAAGACACATCCTCAAGGCGATGATATCATGACCTGGTTACTTGACTACTCTTTCATAGATAAGAGCTTTGAGTTCCCCAGATCTATCAGGACACACAATCTTGATATAAGGGTGGCTGTTCTGAGAGCCATTCATTTCATGCGTAGGACTTTGGTAGCCAGATATGCAAAGAAGTGGCGGATCCTATGTTATGATGAATGTCTTAAATACGTTAAGAGCGTATGTATACAAGAAGATGAACGGAGACTGAATGTTCCTGAAGATCAAAGGAACAATTATGCATCTGTTTTATTCGAGAAATGTAAAGAGCAGTTAAGGATGGAAGTCAAAGATCATCATGTTACAGAAATATTATTCTGTGCAGTACGTGATGTTCTCGAAGGTGCATCACAACCGACATTGTATTTCACTAATGCATTAGATTGGCTGACACTTATATATGGTCATAAAAATCTCAGTGATGATGTTGTGTTAAAGTCCATAGACCTTCTGAGATCAGTGGTCACCAAGAAGGTCCAATCCTGTTCTAAGTTTTAATTTACAACAGATTAACATTTATTGTTTTCGTAAAATATATATTGATTTGCAGGTTCTGCTAGCTGATTCAAAGATTTTGCTGGTTGAAAATACAAGGATAAATTTGCTAGACGATTTTGTCAGGCTTTCTGTTTTTGACTACCGCTCTTATATCCTTCCCCTGCTGAAACGTTTCTTGCGGGTTAGTTTTTGACTTTTGGTTTTGTACATAGAGCTTTCATCTTCCCTCTGATTTTCTCATTGACAGGTACCTTATATTATAATTCATGTCTCTTCTCTAGGAAAAGTTGGATGAAATTGTAGATATGGATGCCAAAGCCAAGTTAGCTGCAGTACAAGCAGAGCTTTTAGCCGAGGAAAAGAAAGAGAAGGCGAAGAAATTAGGACCAAAGAAGAAGAAACATAAAAGCAACAAGGTAGTGAAAGTCTAAATTCTCTATTTTCTTCCATGAATTTTTGATTACTCAGTCGTAAGAATGAATTTGCTTCATGGTGTAACAGAAAACTTCATCGAGCTTGTCTAGTCATCTTGTTCAGGATGTTGAACAGTAAGTATCTCTACTTAGGTAGCGTAGATGAGAAATTTGGTTTCACAAGAATCTTTTTGCAAGTTTATAATTTTTGTAAGGTTTTTTCTGAGCAAAACGTGTTCTTAAATATGTCCAGTGAATCTGCCAATAACCTTGAACCGGGAGTTACATCACTAAAAATGGCGGAAAAAGATTCTATGGAACCAGAAGAAAAGGGTCGACTGGAAAGTTCATCCAACACTAACAATCAAGAGGAAGAAGCTATTAAAGGTTGTAAGAGAGATTTGTAATTTACGTTTTTATTTTATTTTTTATGTTGAGATGTTTGTTTCTTATTTGTTTCATCTGTGATCTTCAAGATTTGCAAAACATGCCTAAGAAAGATTCACTGTTAGATGATGCAACCAGATACCGTTCAGCTCTTGACATGACGCTTAAGGTAAATCAGTCACCATTGAATTTATCCCTTTACCTCTTTATTTGCTTTGACAAACTTTTCTACTGCAGGCCCTTTTAAACATTAAGGTTTTTCAAGAGGAGTTGGTGCACATTCGGCAGCCATTTCATGACAACTTTGAAGAACAAGTTCCTTATGCACTGCAAAATTTATTTTCTGCCTTTGTCTCGGAACAGATAACAGAAGAGGGACTCTATAGTTACCTCCTGAGCAACTTACTTGCTTCCCTAGAAGAAGTCCATTCTATGGTTTGTGTGGATAAATATAAGCTTCTTAGCTTGATTGTTATTCCATGGTTTTACATGTCATTCAGTTTTGTTTACTCTTTTCAGTCAAGTGATGCTGTTGAGGTAGTTGTCTCGATCCTCGAGTTTTGTCATTACTGGAAAAGTTCAGAAAGAGAAAGCTTGGTAACTCGCCTTTTTACGCTGGAGGAATATGAAAGAATCAGTTGTAGAAAATGCAGAAGGATGCCAAACTATCCAGAGCAAAGTTCTTATGGAATTGTTATGGCTGCAAATTCAATCAGAAACCTAAAGGTATGTTTCATTTATATCCATAGTTTTCTTTTCTACAGAACCTGGTACTTAAAGTGCTGCTCTGTGATTATTTGAATATGCAGTGTGCTTTTGGGAATAGAAAGTTTGAGGACATCCTTAAGGCGACCCGCATGAAAGATGGAATAATATGTGATATAAAAACGGGAGGCTGTGGAGAGACAAACTTTGTTCACCATATTATAACTAGATGCCCACCTATTTTCACAGTTGGTAAGTGTTGACCATGATTTTGATCTAGTCTACTCACTTCTTTTTATTGTGGTATGATAAACCCATGTTGCTGTTCTTTTGGGTTTGCAACAACAGTGTTGGAATGGGTGAAGAATGAAACTGAAAAAGATATATTCGAAACAACAAAGGCGTTGGACTGGGAGATAGATATCAGCAGGCTATACGAAGGCTTAGAAGAACCAAACATTAAGTACAGGCTTGTGTCAATGGTAAAATCTGAAACAGGGTCACAAATGTTGGTACTATCGTTTTTTTTTTTTGTATTTCTCTATTACAGTATCAGAATTCTGGAACATTGCAGATTGGCTGTGTGGAAGGAGAATACATTTGCATGGCTTATAAAAAGAACCGGTGGGTCAGTCTCAGACATGAAGCTTCAGCAGAAGAGGTAAGACATAACAAAACAGTTGTCTTTGTCATTTATGAGTTGAGTTTGGTACTTCGATAGGTGAGAGACATGATTGATATGTATGGTGATGTCATAGGTTGTTGGTAACTGGAAGAATGTTATCAGATTCTGTGGAGAAAGAAAGGTTCGGCCAGAGATTCTGTTTTACGAAGCATTTCAATGGCCTAGCAAGTGGCAAAAGTTAATATCAGTATGAAAACCCTACCACATTCATGTAAACAGCAGTGACTTCTTCCCAATTCAAAAGCAGTCGTGTTCTTTGCTCTTATATGAAGCTTGTGAAAGAGTAACACAGACAGACAAAGGAGACCATAGAGTTAGTGTCTTTAAAACCAGCTGGGTCAGCTATGTCAGTGTGAAACTTTTTGTCGATCATTTTTTTAGTGGGCAAAGTCCATTTATAGACTTACGGTGTAACATTTGATTGTATATAATATCATTTGTTGTAATGTTTTTTCGACTAGAACATGCGAATACTTTCATTTTCTTGTCGTCATATATCAAAAAGAGCAGCTTCACATAACATCTTTTATATTATTGAATACTAGTAATTGTGGTTTCAACAAATCAAAAGTATCAAACTATTATAACATGTTAAAAGTGAAAAAGTAAACATACAAATAATGGAGAAGTATGGTTCTATAATATGATTTATCTAAGATGTAAAATTTTTAGGGATTTCAATCAAGTCTCTCGGCTTGTGGAAAACTACATTTGTTCATCTACAAAGAAACCTTATCATGTACACACAACAAGCAACACGATGCCTTCTACAGAGAGCTGCAACTCAAAACAGACAAAAAAACAGCAAATGGTTTAGCTACATTCAAATATTATTATCTTCTTTTGAGCATTAGTGCAACAAGAGAGCCTTTTGCTTCATTCTTGGCTTCTTTATCGGTCTCTGTATAATCATCATTTCTCCTCAAAATCGACATCAATGATTTGGGATTTAGGTGGCTTTTTAGAGTTTCCCTTGCTGTTATTATTGTTGTTACCATCTTTTGAGAAGAAGTCGCCTTGTGGCTGCCACACTATGTTCCCACATCCTTCGCATCTGATGATTTGGCTCTTGTATCCTATGAACTGCCTCTTACATGCTGGGCATTCTCCCTGTGTAGACCCAAACGTGTTATTATAACAGAGCTTTGGAACACATTTTTTCAAGAATTAAGACACTCCATCATACAGGTCATCCATAAGTTAGATATCGGTTTCATATACTAAATCAAAGAATGTAAATCAAAGAATGTAAATCAAGGACCTGGAGATTTAATATCTATACCTTGATGACAAAGTTGTTGGCCACTGCACCAATGAGAAGAGGGCCAGCAATTGGAAGAACCCAAGTCGCAATTATTATTACTCGGAACAGCCATCCAGAGAGGGCAAACCAAAGAAAGAAAATAGTCTGGAAAAGAAACAAAAGCATATCCAATATTAGATATCTAAACTCAGTCAGTACGATTCATTTAAAACCAAGTTTAATCAGACAACTCATCAATTTTGTAAGTTGAAGTGCTCAATGAAACCCATGGAATAAGATTATAAAAACCGGTGTGGTGTTCATATTCCTGATAATAAATCAACATCACAGAAACTAATTTGGGTTTCATAGTCTAAGCCTGTTGCCCTTTATAAGATATTTACAGACAGTAAAACCGCAAAAATGTTCAAAACTCAAAACGTCAGACAGATCATCCTTCACAAGATAACCAGCGAGCTTAAGCGGAAAAGATGCTATTCATATATATGATACTGCCTTAAACAATCCCAACTCCAGCTCAATCATAGTTCAGCAAAAGTAAGAGAAGATATCAGTAGAAGTGTAACACTTACAGCAAAACTTCCACCAAGGGGTGTATTCAAGAATGCACTGAACTGCTTCCTGTACTGTAAAGAAAAAAAACAAAACAAATGGAAAAACTTCAAAACAAAGCAAAGAAAGAGTCATGTATGTATCATTGTTTATTCACATCAACATATAACTCTATAAAACCAAATGATTCAACATTCCAGTGTATACATAAGATGCAAATGCTAATCTGTGAATGTAACTGAATCAAAGTCTCTTTCAAAAGAGCTAGTCCCAATTTTGCTCCATTTGATAATATGACATTAGCAACAATGAAGACTCAAGAATCTACCAAGAGAAGGGCTTAATAGCATAACAAATGAGAATCTAAATCAAATTCAATCAAAGGCATATAACTATGTTCATCTTCTTTCTCAATTCTCATTATATACCTTAGGGAAATTTCTACTAAAATCGGCAGAGAGACTCCTAACACGAGGACTAATCCCAAATTCACGATCAATCTCACGAGCACGGTCACCGGCAGAACTAGCAGCGGAGCTAAACCGGCGAGAAACAGCGTACTGACGATCGATTCTCTCGGCGGTTTTCTTAGCCTCAAAAACAAATTGTTCGAATCCATCGTTAGCGGTTCTCCACGCGTCTCTCCAAGCTTTACCGGACTTAACGTCATCAGCGAAACGGTCGAAGTCACCGCGCTGGAAAGCTTTTACCTGTAAGAAAGGGGCGGCGCGTGATGTATACGTGCGGCGGAGGCGTAAGTGTGTGTGTGGATAAGGTGTGGTGATGGTGAATCTGGGTGATGTGGAAGGCCACATGAAGTTACAAGTCTTCATAGTAAGACCATGAGATTACACAAGAGCTATGTAGGAAGAAGAAGAAGAAGAAGAAGAAGCTTTGGGTTAACTCTTCGCCGTGGAGAAGAAGCTCGAGGAAGACGAAGATGTGCGGTGGTGATAAAGCAAGAAACCTCCAAAAACCAAATCTTAACATTAAAACCAAAAAAAAAAAAAAAGAAACCTCCAAAAACAAAATACAGCTTTTGTACCGGCCCGGTTTAATTAGATGTGGCCAAATTGAAATGTTTCAAATTTTATTTGTGGTTTGGAAGAAAATTTGAGCACCAAAATTCGAAATTTGTACCGGTCGGTTTACTTGGTAGTGGCAAAAATGATTTTTTTTTTCTTTTTTTTTTTGTGGATTGGAAAATTACACTTAAAAAAAAAATAAGAATAGAAAATAAGATGCTAGTTTATTTGAAGTCGGTCGAGTTTGTAGAAACAAAAAAATAAAGTCAAGCGTGAATAAAATGAAAAGATGTAAACTCAAGAATGAGCATAATGTGTTATTGGGTCTTAAAAAAAGGTTTATGAGTCAGTCCCGGTTTGTTTATCTAAAATTGAAAAAATAATTCTCAACTACATACATGTAAATAATATAATTGTTTCGTTAATTACATGAACTATTGTTATTACATAAGGGCATATATAAACAAACATAAGTTATGTATACAATATCATAACCATTTATTTTTGGTGACTTTATCGCTGAAATATGGCGTTGACCAATTTTGATCGGAACTGACCAACGTTAGGTATGACTAAAATTTTATTTTAATCGTATTTCTAACCGTAACCAGACCGTTTTTCAACCGTAACCGTATAAAACGATTAAAAAGCATAACCGTTAACTGTAAAAATATATTGGTCACAGTTATAAAAAATATTAATCGTAACTGTTATCAACCGTAACCGTATAAAACCGTTAGTTAACCGTACGGTTAACCGTAAAATTAAACCTTGAATAAAAATTAGGGGGATTTGCACAAATAACTTTTTTTTAGGTTACCCTTTTAAAAGAATACCTTCTTTTGATGTTCATTTAGAAAATACCCTCTTTCGTGTACAAAATAACTAAATCACCCTCCTTTAATATAACACATGATGAAAATATGAATATTATTTCCAAAATCCAACAAAAAGAATATTTCTTCTGAAAATTTTCCCCCCAAAAATTTCCGACATATTTTTTTCCGCCAAAACATTTTCCCGCCAAGTTTTCAGCCATAATTTTCCGCATTTCCTTAGAAAACGTTGTAAATTAAAGCCCTTGTAAATCTTGTAATAGTCATTCAAAACCTTCAAAAACTTTAGTAAACCTTTTAAAACCTTTGTAAATCATTTTATAACATTTATAAATTTTGGTAGGAAAATATTTGGCGGGAAAAATTTTGGAAGGAATATTCCGTTCAAAGGAAGGAATACTTTTTCAACTAGAGGTAAAATGGTCACTAAAATTTAAGAGAGGGCAAAAATGATTATGACAAAAAAGAGGATAATTTTGCAAAAGGGTATGATAAAAAGGTTATTAGAGATAATTTATCTAAAAATTATCTCATTAAAACAATGTTTTAAATGGTTAAATATGTTGATGAAAAAAAATGGTTAAATATGTCAACTAGTAACCCTAATCCATTCCACTACTCATTTCCATTAATCAAATCAAAAATAATTTAATTTAAATATTTGTAGGTTCATAACCATTAGTTTATATATTTGTAGTTGTCTTTGATTAAACAAAAATCATTTCTTTAACTAATGTACTATAAATATTTGAATCATATAATTACATATATTTCATATTTGTAAATAAACATTATTTGATATGGTAAGAAAATATAAAATTTTGCCTTTAATATTATTTATATCATAAATATCAAATAACCGTAACCGGATATAACCGTAACTGTATATAACCATAACCGTTGTAACCGTATATATAAAAGTTAAGGTTATGGTTAAAAAATATTTATAATCATAACCGGTGGTTAATAAACCGTAACCATCGTCATGCCTAACCGACGATGACCAACAAAAAATTCAAACAAAAAAAATCCATAATTATTTTATTTTTTATTTCAACTATTTTTGATAAATAGGTAAATATATTACATAATTTTACAAAACAAATATCAAAACATATTATAAAAGTAAATTTTTTTTAATCTCACATTAAAAGTCAAAACTGATATACCAAATAAATTTGGGGGATTTCCACAACTAACCTTTTTATGATACCCTTTTCTATAAGTACCCTCTCTAGGTGTCCATTTTCAAAAATACCCTCTTCTATGTACAAAAGGACTAAATTACCCTTTTTATAACATTTATAAACACTTGTAAATCCCTTTAAACCCCTTATAACCGTGATAAATCATTTAATAAAAGCTTTTATAAACTTCTAAATCCCTTTAAAAACCCTTGTAAATCCTTAAAAACCATTTTAAAGAACTTGTAATACATTTAAAAACTTTTGTAAACCCTTTAAAACCCTTTGTAAACTTCTAAAACCCTTTAAAACCCCTTGTAAATCCCTTAAAACTATTTTTAAATCTTTGTATGCCTTTAAATACACTTGTAAATCCTTTTAAAAACACTTGTAAATCCTTTTAAAATTAATATCTTTGTTTTTTGCGGGAATTGTTTTGCGGAAATTTTTTTGGCGGAAAATTTTTTCTCGGAATTTTTTTTGGCAGGAAAATTTTGGCGGGAAAGTTTTTGGCGGGAAATTTTTGGGGGAAAAATTTTAGAAAGGAATATTCCTTCTTTTGGGAAAGAATATTCTTTCAACTAAGGGTAAAATGGCCATTAAAATTTAAGAGAGGGCAAAACTGAAAATTGCAAAAGAGGGTATTTTTAAAAGAGGGTATCATAAAAAAGTTATTGGTATTAGTTTCTCAATAAATTTTGTGAAATATTTGGTTATACAATTTTGGTAATACAAAAAAAAATATACCAAGTAAAGAAAGTATACCACAAAATTTTTACGTGGTAAATTTAGTTATATATATATAGTAATATAACAAAATATTAAAAAATCATTTTTTTCTTTTGTAAAGTCGTAGGTCGGGGTTTTAAATATGTTTTGAGTTTTTATTTATACTAGGTTTTAACCCGCGGTACACCGCGAGACGATTGTTTTGACTAAACAAAATATATATTTAACATATATTTATTAATTTTATTACCTTTTTAGTGTTTAAGATTGTGTAACTGTATTTTTGATTGTTATTTTTATTACTTAAATCGCGGGATATTTTTTTTATAACTCGCGGGACTAAAAACATTATGTTTAAGTTATATTTGTTATTTTTTTTTGTTTTGTTAACCCATAAGATAACTCGTAAGAAAAACATAAAACTCAAACCCGTTAAATCATATTTATGTAAATATAAACCTTGTAAATCTTTTAAAATTCAGAGAGATTTTTGTTTTTGTTTTCCAAAAACTCATTTTTAACCAATCAATATTTTAAAATTTGGATTCCCTAAAATTTAGTAAAACTTTATTTGTTGTAATCTTCCATTCAAGATTTTGGATTTTTAAGTTTCATATTAGTCATATTTATAATGGTTCCGAACCATTATCTAAAATTTTCTACCCGATGTGGGAAGTTATACATATATGTTTTTTTCTTTTATCGATTGAGTAATATTTTTAAATCTTTGTATGCCTTTAAATACACTTGTAAATCCTTTTAAAAACACTTGTAAATCCTTTTTAAAAACCTTGAAAAATCCTTGTAAAATTTTAAAATCCTTTAAAAATCCTTGTAAATCCTTTTAAAACTGTTATAAACTTATAAAAACTTTTAAAAACCATTTTAAATCTTTTAAAAACCATTACAAATCTTATGAAAACCATTTAAAAACTCTTGTAAATCCCTTTAAAACCTTTAAAAGACCCTTTAAAAAACTTGTAAACCCTTTAAAATATATGGCGGGAAAATTTTGTAAAAATATTTTGTTTTTGGGGGAAAAATTTTGCGGACATTTTTTGGCGGGAAATTTTTGGGTGGAAAATTTTTGAAAGGAATATTCCTTCCTTTGGGAAAGAATATTCTTTCAACTAGGGGTAAAATGGCCATTAAAATTTAAGAGAAGGCAAAAATGAAAATTGCAAAAAAGAGGGTATTTTTAAAAGAGGGTATCATAAAAAGGTTATTGGTATCAGTTTCTCAATAAATTTTGTGAAATATTTTGTTATGCAATTTTTGTAATATAAAAAAAAATATACCAAGTAAAGAAAGTATACCACAAAATTTTTACGTGGTAAATTTAGTTATATATATATAGTAATATAACAAAATATTAAAAAATCATTTTTTTCTTTTGTAAAGTCGTAGGCCGGGGTTTTAAATATGTTTTGAATTTTTATTTATACTAGGTTTTAACCCACGGTACACCGCGAGAGGATTGTTTTGACTAAACAAAATATATATTTAAGTTATATTTGTTATTTTTATTACCTTTTTAGTGTTTAAGATTGTGTAACTGTATTTTTGATTGTTATTTTTATTACTTAACTCGCGGGATATTTTTTTCTAACAAGTTATATTTGTTATTTTTTTTTGTTTTGTTAACCCATAAGATAACTCGTAAGAAAAACATATAACTCAAACCCGTTAAATCATATTTATATAAATATAAACCTTGAATAATTTATAGATTTCGAGAGAGATTTTGGTTTTTGTTTTTCAAAAACTCATTTTTAACCAATCAATATTTTAAAATTTTGGATTCCCTAAAATTTAGTAAAACTTTATTTGTTGTAATCTTCCATTCAAGATTTTGGATTTTTAAGTTTCATATTAGTCATATTTGTAATGGTTCCGAACCATTGTCTAAAATTTTCTACCCGATGTGGGACGTTATACATATATGTTTTTTCTTTTATCGATTGAGTAATATACGTCTGTTTTCAAAAATTTAAATTGCTACATAGGCAAAATTTGTTTTGTATTTTTATTATAATTATGTTTTATGTAATAATGTAAATTTTAAAACAAATAAGATCATATAAAGATATTGGAGAGATATTCAATTTATTAGGGAAAATTTTAGGAAATTTTGTTATATGTAATAAATATTAGTTTCTAATTTTTCGACCCTGGTGTAATTTAATTACAAAT